TTCCGCTGGCCATGTAGCATTTCTATTCATTTGTCTCCCAGGTCTGTAACTGCTGGTGTCCGCCTGGCCATGTAGCATTTCTATTCATGTGTCTCCCAGGTCTATCACTGCTGGTGTTCTCCCTTTTCCATTGGCCGTGTAGCATTTCTATTCACTTGTCTCCCAGGTTTGTCGCTGGTGGTGTCCGCCCTTTTCCGTTGGGTCTGTCACTCCTAATGTCCGCGGTTTTCCGCTGGCGATGCAACGTTTCTATTCATTCCCCAAGCAGTTTACTGTCAGGAGTTATCATTTCTTTCTTAAGATGTGTCCGCCCTTTGCGTCACTGCTGGTGTCCCCCCTTGTCCGCTGGGCCCCAGGTTCGACGCCTGGCCATGCAGCATTTTATTCATTTGTCTCCCACATAATTTGTGCACTTCGCCAAACAGGTTACTGTTATATAGGGGTGCCCGCCTTGCTGCGGGACAGCGTGTCCGCCTTCCGTCCGGCTTGTCTCCCTTTGTCTCCCTTCTTGTTGGTCACTGTGTCCGCCTTGTCTCCCTTCTGTTTCCCTTTGTCTCCGGTCTTGTCTCCCTTCTTGTTGGTCACTGTCCGCCTTCTCTCCCTTCTGTTTCCTTTTGTCTCCCTTCTTGTCTCCCTTCTTGTCGGTCATTGTGTCCGCCTTGTCTTCCTTCTTGTCTCCCTTTGTCTCCAGTCTTGTGACCCTTCGTGGGTCACTGTGTCCGCCTTGTCTCCCTTTTGTTTCCTTTTGTCGCCCTTCTCGTCTCCCTTCTTGTTGGTCATTGTGTCCGTCTTGTCTCCCTTCTGTCTCCCTTTGTCTCCGTTCTTGTCTCCATTCTTGTTGGTCACTGTGTCCGTCCTGTCTCCTTTTTGTCTCCCTTCTCGTGTGTCATCGTGTCCGCCTCGTCCCTTCTGTCTCCCTTTGTGTCCCTTCTTGTGGGTCACTGTGTCGGCCTTGTCTCCCTTCTGTTTCCTTTTGTTTCCCTTCTTGTTTTCGTTCTTGTCTCCCTTCTTGTTGGTCACTGTGTCCGCTTTGTCTCCCTTCTGTCTCCTTTTGTATCTCTTCTTGTCTCCCTTCTTGTTGGCCATTGTGTCCTGTTTCCTTCTGTTTCCTTTTGTCTCCCTTCTTGTCTCCCTTCTTGTTGACGTCTCAAAAAGTGGACTTGGGAATGCTTCGTTGTTGTCCCACCTGTTTGGGGTCTACGGTGGTGCAATTTTCCTTTTTCCAGGAACGGGTGTCTTTGGGGATGCCGGATGTCCCTATTTCTAGACACACCCAGCACACTCACATGGTAATGCGTGGGCATGAGTGTTGTGGATGTACCCATCCCTTTCCAAGCTGTGCCATGCTGCGCCATGGTGCGCTATGCTGCACCAGTCGCGTCAACAGCTCAGGTATTGCATCAGCTGGCCGCTTGCAGCTCGGAAGAGGCGGGGTCATCCGGTACCGGTTTTGACTCGGTCTAGGCGGTCGCAGAACAAGGGAACCTGGTGGGAACTCCCCTTTGAACAACTTTCAAGCCTTTTTCCACCATTGAGGTTCGTTTTGAAGAGGTATCTCAGAGGATCTTGAAGACTTTTTGGATGTGAAGGCTGCGGCTAATGTCTCACTGTGCCACATGACAGTGGCAATCCTTGACTCCTGGACCAAGACACTGCCACATGGTGGCTTTTCCGTGCAAGGTTGGCACCTCAGACACTCATGTCATGATGGCAGCTCGGACAGTTCCCACAAACCATGTTGGTTTTTGAAGTAGCTGGAGCAGTCCAAAACAAGAAGAAAAACACCAGATTCCTCAACTTTAGACTCTTCATCCGTGCCTACTTAAGAATAAACTAAACCCCACCCAGTGGGGATGTCCCTATTCCAACACACACCCGCTTGACCCGAATTGACCACACCCGATTTGCTCGTCCTGCAGGGGCCGTGGGACCCGCGCGGCTTTCAGCCGCGCACGGGAGGACAGTGTGGTCCGACGTTCCAAGAAAAAGGAGGGCGGCAGACGCGGAGCAGTTCTTTTTCGGCTCCAGTGTTGGTCTCATTTTGCTGCAGATTTTTTTCTTCTGGTATATTGTTGATGGGTGAAGGTTCGTATACGTTCGGAGGTCTGCGGCACAATAGGTTCTTTGGCTCAATCACCCAGCAGAAATCCGCTCTTTTTGTGCAGGCCACGGGAGAAGGGAGAAGGGAAGGCACACTCCCACTTACCATCAGATCCTTGTAGATGAACATCTGGCAGACCCGTTGCCCGAAACTCGTGGTCAAAACATGTGCAGCAAGATTGAATCCTCAAACCGTCAAACCAGCAGGCACAGCAATCCATCCACCGGGTTGGCTGTGCCAACATGCTGTCTGAGATAGTAGTTCTGCCATCTCGCATGGGGGGATAAAAGGACAGAAAGTGAGGATCCGAACAGGACTCAGCAGCGATGGGTGCAAGCTGACCTCCAGTTTGAGTCTTGGAAGAAACTGAAACCCTTCCTCACCCTCAGCCAACCCAAGCAGTCCCTGCTTCTGCAGCGTTTTTGCAGGCGCCATGGCTGGTCAGTTCGTGGTGAAGCGTGACGGCCGTAAGCAGGAGACCACGTAGACATGGGTGCAAACGTTTATGGTTTTAGTTTTACAGATCCAAACCTTTTCGGATTGCTGTTGGATTGTTTTTGTTTTTGTTGTTTGATTGGTTTAAACATCAGGATTGCCATTGGAAGCCTTCAAAACCACCATTTTTTGGGACTCCAACAGCACCCAAACTTGGGACCTTGGGATGCCCTTGAAAAAAGGGCATGAAAAAATCACCTTTGAGATGCGTTGAGGGGACACCTGCTTGGTACGTGTTCCAGTTTCTGGGCGTTTCAGGCAGGCCGCAGGCCGTAGCCACTTCTCCCTGGCTGTCGGGTCTTCCCTTCGACTCTCCAGTTTCTCACCACCAACGCCCGAGGTGACCAGACACAGCCACAGCCGTCGCCGCGGCTTTCCTCGCTCATGTCCATGATTTAGAACTGGAGGAATACGTGTATATGTATATCAGTCACCAAAACCTCAAAAAAGGCCTTAGGGATGTTTAGGGCTCTTAACCTGCCAGTATCTTCAGGCCAACATTTTTTACGTTTCGGGCCGTAGCTCAGAAATGGATTGGTTTTGCCCTCACGAACTCCCCGCCGGCTCCCAGTCTGTCGAGCGTCAGTTGAACGTAATGGTGAAGATGTGCGACCGCCCACCTGGTCGACCGTACGTAGGTTGACGTGTCCCTACACATCCTCTTCGCGTCTCACGTGGATGAAAAGGTCGGTCTCCAGAGGCGCCAGTGGCTTCCACCTGTTTTGGTACAGTCGGCGACCAAAAAGAAAACAAAGACCAAGCGCCCAGGAGGTGAAGTTCGACAACATCACCAAGCGCATCCGGACTCTTTGCGGTGGCCTGGACCCACGTTTTATCGACCCGGTGCCCGTGACGCAGAAGGTGGTGGAAGGTGCCGGGTGGTGGAAGGTGCCGGGGGATGTAGGTCTAGCTGTTGGAGGAAGGTGGCACAGACATGTTCTCCCTGTTTTTGGGGGGCTGGGCCGATGTTTTTAGGTGATGTTCACAGCCCCAAAGAGGGTTCGATCTAACAGTGATCCGGTGGACGGACCAGCCCTTTGGAGTTTCCTTTTAGGGCGCGGAACGCCGCGTGAAACCCCGTTTCACGGGAGGCTTCTATAATGGCATCAAGACCGCAGAGGTTGACACTTTGGCGGCTGAGACCTGCGCGTATATGTGCCTGGACTCCGGTTAGACCGACTGTGCCTGGACGACGCTGTTCATGTGGTTCCATACGCAGACCTTGTGTTCGACTCGGCTAGACCGACCTGGAGTGGGGCTCGTGGTTTGCTGGAAAACCCAAGGTGACGTGTGTGGCTGCTTCATGGTGACGTGTGAGGCTGTCACCAGAAGGTTTATGCATAGACCTCTCTTTGTCTGAGGGGTTTTATGATCGTTTGAGAACCGGCTCGAGCCGCCCGAGGGGGCATCAAGGGGGTTCCTACATGCTGAGCTCTTCGTCGAAATGCCCTGCTTAGTGGTTGAATTCCTACATGCTCAACTGTTCAAGCATCTGGACTTAGATCTTAGTCCAGTTTGTCTGGACTTAGATCTTAGTACAGTATTATATGATCATGCCCATATGGTTCATCTCCAGTTTTCGGTCAATCGTAGGACATCCAACTCGCTCAGATCTTCCCTATCTTGCCATGCACGGTGTCTACTGGTTTAACGAATGCCTCTCATGGCAGGAGGGTAGACTTTTTGGCCCAGGTCTCAGAAGCATCCAGACTTCTCCACTTTGGCCGCCCGCATTGCGGTGTCGAACCTGCACAAGAACCTTGGTCGGACCGCGGAACGATTTGAAGTGGAAGTCTCTGTCGGACTGCTCAAATCTACAGAGAATCTACAGAATAATGTCAATGTTGTTGTTGTTGTTGTCGTTGTCGTTGTCGTTGTCGTTGTCGTTGTCGTTGTTGTTGTTGTTGTTGTTGTTGTTGTTGTTGTTTCTGGAGATGTTCCGTAATTCGTACGAACCACAAGTACGAAGGACCTCATCTTCGTTCTACATGGTACGAACGAAGATGAGTCCGGCGTTGATGGACGCCCGGAGGATGAGACTGCACTGGGCTCCCCAGCCTGGGACGTGAAAGCTGGGGCTGCCGCTGGACGGATCACTGTTTCTACATTGACCATCTATCATGTGCAGCGTTTTCTGGGCGAACCTGAAGGTTTCCAAGGGCTGACCTTCTGCCTGTGGGAAAGCCATTCACAGCGGAGGCCGAACGCTTCGGGACCCCGCTTCGGGACCATCTGCGTAGCACCCGACCACGTCGAGAAAGACACATCAGCGGGGAACTGGGGTGTAGACCCACATCATCCATTCCCGCGCATGCCGAGACCACAACTCACCAGCCGACCCACCTGTGCCCCTCAGCTTTTCGATGAACCCACCAGGAACACCTCGGATTCCTTCGCCGAGACCTGTCGGATCCTCTTCCACTTCGTGGATGCGCAAGGGCGTGAGGCTGGATTGCTATCCCAGGAGCGCCGTGTAGTTGCGAAAAAGCTGTGGAGTAGGCCGTGTACTTGGATTGGTGAGGTGCATCGATATATGGGAAGGGGATGAAGCTTGATCTAAGCTTGATCTCTTTTGATGAGACAACACCGGGTTGCGAAGAACCTTGGAATGAACAAACAGGCTACCAAGTTCTGTTTGTTTTCCTCTTCCCATCCCAAAAATAACCGAAAGCGTCACAGGGGAATTCCCTTTTGTTTTGGCCAAGAAACCGTCAAACACATGCCGCCAGACCGTCTCTTGTGGCGACTTCTCACCTCCAGGAGGTCTTCGACTTCGTCCAGAAGAACGCAGGGGAATTGGATGAGGCGCTCGACTACGACAGGGATTTGGGATACGACTACTTTGGCCCCTCGGTTTTGGGACGGTTCTTAAGAGTCGACGACTGGGTTGGATGACTCTGAAGCACAGGGTCTGAAGGGGATTTAGGTTCAAGTTTTGCTGGTGGGAGGACTGGTCATATCTTGAAATGCTCCACAAGCTATTTACTCTAGGATGACGAAAGTGCTGGGCTCCATGTTCACAGCGCCCGCTCAGAATTTGATGAATATACAGCCCGGTATGTCGAGTTCTACTCAGGCTGCGTAGTCGCCACCTCGGCCATCCAAGCTCCATTGCCATCCAAGAATTCCTTCCAAACGCATTGATTTGGGGCTGATTTGGTTCAGAACAAGAATTATCAACAGGAAGTAAGCTTGAATCTCTCGATCCTTATTGTTTTCCTTATCACCAAGGTTTCAAGACGCTCGAAAAGTCCTACCTGCTGCGCGTGCACGGGAAGATCGTCGAGCGCCCTCAGCACATGATCATGCGCACCGCCTGTGAGATCCATTGCGGGGATCTTGCCAGCGCTCTTCAGAGCTACGACTTGATGTCCAGGACAAGTGCTGATTCTTCCATCTCTGAGGGGAACGAACCACCTGCTGGTCTTTACTATTTTTCTGTAGATCCTTTTTTACTTAAGAGGGCAGCAAAAACATGCTGTGGATTTTGCTTTGGAGAGGATGTTGAACACTCGCATTGCTCAACGACTTCAGATGCTCATCGATGCATTTCACGAGTTCAAATTGTCCGTGCTAGATGCCTTGCGGATGTGCGTTCACAGTAGCACCGGGCGAATCACGGAGGAAGTTCTTCACGCACGCGACGCCGACGCTCTTCAATGCCGGGACTCCCAAGCCACAGATGTCGTCCTGCTTCTTGCTGAAGATGAAGAGCGACAGCACCTGGGCGAGCTCATGGGGGCAAGGGATGGCAGGTGGACTTGAGGTTGAATCTTTCTCCCTGGAAGACTATTCATGGTTAGGTGGATGGCAGGAGCTGTTTGGTCTTGCGCACAGGGCCATCCGAACCCGGGGGCCTTTTCCCATCCACGTATAAAAACAGATGATTTCAGTGAGGGTAAGCTTTCTAAAAGGGATAGAGAGAGGCCTTGAGATGAGCACCACTGGGGTCTCCGATCTGAACTGGTCTCTTTGATCGACTGACGTCCGATCCACACTGGTGGCTGGATGATTCGTCAAGTGGGTGTTACACCAGAGGTGATTTTTGCTTCTTGAACCTTGGAGACCTTCCAGGGGAGAGACCTTCCAGGGAGACCTTCTAGGGGAGAGAGTGCAGCTTTCCCTGCAATGCGCGTGCGCATGAAGTCGATGCCCTGCAGATAGGCATCGACGGGATCTACGACACCTTAAAGCAGTGCGCGGTGATCTCAAAGTCCGCCGGTGGCATTGGTGTTGCAGCTGCTTGGCACTGCACGTGGAAGGAGGGAAGCATACATGTGTGAGTGACCCAAGCGTTTGGCTTTGGAACATGAGTGGTTGGTTCTCCTGGGTCTGACCACCATCGATTTGGGGAGGAATCGATGATCTCGACTCAACTTCAGATCTTCCAGTAGACTACTTCAGTAGAGATCCCCAGCACGGCCGGCTTCCCGTGTGAGAATCGCACGAGGCCAGTAGAATCCAAGGGCCATCGGATGCGGGACAGATGGTGGTTCAGTGCCACAAAATGCCGTCAGGGCGTACACGGTATTGAAACACGGAATTCGGAACATGCCCACCTCCTAACCTAGAAAGGTATGATACAGTGAAACTCCAAACACTGACTTATATAACTGTCATGTACTTCACAAACCAAGCCCACTTCCGCCACTTGGATTCCGAAGCGTCGCACCTGGCCCAAGGCCTGAGGCCAACGTCACGCGCTTTCACCCGAAGACCTTCGGTCACCCCGATCACCTCGGGTGTCGTGCCGAAGGCGCTGTCGCACCGGCCGCGTCAGGTGTCCAACATCCGCGCCAGCGGGTCCTACATCCGCGGGACCAATGGGCAGAGCAACGGCTTGGTGCCGATGCTGAAGAACTTCAACGAGACGGCCCGGTATGTGGATCAGGCGGGTGATCAGGGTATGTGACCTCTTCTTTTTTGTGGGTTTGGGCCGGTTTTGGGCTGAAGTCTACTTGAAATGTATGTGGAGGTATGATGAGATGTCTAGCAGAAAGGGCAATCAAGATCGCCACTTTTCTCAACTCGTCACAATTCATGTCCATTCCCTCTTTCTCCCCAACACAAGGTGTTCAGGTGTTTCAGGCCTGTTTTCAGCGGTTGGAATTCATTTCTTTTGTGCAAGTCCTTGTTCACCAAAATCTGTTCAATGAATGTGTTTGTGTGTTACAACTTACAACTCTACCGAAGTGGAGACTGTACAGGGTGTGATTGGCTTCGGTGCGGGGACTGTGGATGAAAGAGTGTCTTCTTCTTTTTTGAATGACATCAGCACAGGATAACTGCCCTGTGCAGGAAGGCTCTCTTCATGTGGATGCTCACCCAACTTGGTGGTTAGACACTGAACAAACCAGGTCCACTTGTGTGCGTGGGTTCAGAACCTTGTACCGTTTTATTGGGATTTCCTTCAAGCCGATCCCAGGCAGCTTGTCACCCTCCACAACCCGCCTCCGTCCATTCGGTCGTGGCACCAGTCGATGGCTCGGTCGTGGAGCGCGAGACTCGGTCTGCGTCGCCCGCCATGGCGACGCCCAGCGACGCGGAGCTCCCGACGGTGGCGCTGATCACGGGCGCCTCACGTGGCTTGGGAGATCGCGCCATGAGGAGTTCTTTCTTTTTTGTTTTTTTTCCAAGCTAGCTACTAGTAGCGTCCTTGCGACGAGTAGCGATGGCCTCCACCTAGTAGCGATGGCCTCCAACCTAGTAGCGTCCTTGCTGCTTGCAGGTTTTTGGGTGGGGATTTCTTTTTCTGTCTCTGCTGGTTTAGCGCTGCAGTTCGGGTTACAGGGTTCCCGTCATGCAGAGCCGCGGTAAAGAACGGTAAACATCGCAGAAAAGAACCAAGCTTCTTTCCTTTTTGGCATGTACTTTATGTCTATTGCATCAACTGAGGTGTACAAAGGTCCGGTGATTTGCAAAAGTCGAAACCAGCTTCTTGGGAGTTTGTCTTTATGGGGAATCACACTCTACACTCCACAAAAACCGCCCCACCGCCCAGAACAAGCCAACAAATGAAGAGTTGAGATACACATGTTGGCACCCCAAAATCGCAAAACATAGTTACTTTGTAGTTATCTACTGCCAACCCACAAACGAAGCCAGTCCCAGCTGACCTGCAATGTAAGCGACTCCCGTAGATCACACGAATGGATCGTTTCACGCATCTTAGAAGATGACCTTCAAAAGACGAAAGACAGATTCCTGACCAGAAGGCTTTTCCTTTTCTCCAACTTCCCCAGGTGGCTACGGCCGTGCCCTCGCTGAAGCTCTCTGTGCCGCCCGTGGCGCCCCACTGCGCTTGGCCTTGCTCGCGCGCGACGGGCCGGGCGTAGAGGAGACGGCGCGGCGGTGCTGCGAGGGACGCGGAGGCCGCGTCCAGAGCAAGCAGTTTCTGGGAGATTTGGGTCGAAGCAACGAGATGGTCCAGTGGATGGAGCCGGTCTTGGACTATTTGGCCCATGCAATTGAGACCGTATCGTGCACGGAACCAGGCCAGCTGAGAAGAAGTGATTTCCCTTTTGCCTGGTAATCCATCGTTTTGCAAGTGACTTTACTTCGTGACATGTAGAGCTTATGAATCACCGTAGCTTTGCGTTCTTCCACCGCAACTGTGGCTCCCATGACCAGCTTTTCTGGGAGATTCCACACTTGGTAGGGGAGTAAAAGCAAATGCCTCCAAATTCCCCTGACCTCACAAGTGGTACTTTGTCTTTTCCACGTTTGGATAGACATTTGCCAGGTGCCAAATGTGAGCTCTTGATCCTGCACAATGCAGGCAGCTTGGGCCGGCTGGCCTACAGCCATGAGCGGCCCGCACTGGAGGCCTCGATCGGAGCATTGGATTTGAACGTCACTGGCTTTGTCGTGCTCAGCCAGATGCTCTTGCAGCGCTTTGCCCCGCAGGCACTGGTGATTTGAGGGGATGGAAGTGTTGGGCATGGCGCGCCATGCCCGCTTACTAGGACATTCTTTTGAGGCATTGGATGAAAAGACCCTTCATTTGCTTTGTGCTGGATTTTCGATGCTTTGATGCACTCACTTGGCACCACAAAGCATCTTTGTTTGGAGGGTTTCTTGAGATGAACCCACAATAGATCCCTTTTGAACCCCTTTGGAGAGGACTCTCCAAATATGTCTGCTGGGGGTGGCGTGTGCAGGTGAGACGGCCAGAGAATGCCCTGCGAATTGTGGTGGTGAATATTTCCAGCTTGTTGGCGCTGCAAGTGATGCCCTCCTGGTCTTTATATGCCACTTGGGAGCTGCTAAGCGATTTTTACTGAGCGATTCCAGATATCCACGGCAAATCACTACCACAGTTTTTGCTATTTGTTCTCCCCAAAGAAGAACTCTTCCAAATATTATCCTCAGGTTTGTTGGACTGTGACGAGCCCCATGTACCACCAAGAAACCTTTTCGAAAGTAACATTTTCATACATTTTCACGTTGAATTGCTCATTTTTGCTCTGATAGACTGGGCAATCCCAATTTGGGCAGGTTTGCTATGACATGCTCCATATATTACTGTATCTACTGATTCAGATGACTGTTTAGTGAGTGTTTGTGATGATGGTTTGCCCCCAAATAGACAACTGAATGGACACACGTTTCTCCTGCCAAATGTGGAGTACAGGATTAACAGAAACTGACCCCTAACATCCTTTTACCATCTTTTATCTACATATTTTCGTGTTTTTCCCAGTATTTTCCAGGTCCGCCTCCCTCCGCGCCTGTTCCCATTACTTCGCCGCGAGGCCACCGGCAAGGCCGCCCGCGACATGTACATGCGCACCTTGGCGGCCGATGCACATGCGGCGCAGTTGGAGGTGAGAACCTTGTCCTGGGCCCCCGGACCCATGGAGACCGAGATGATGCAGGAGATCTTGAGGCAGATCTGAGCCGTTCGTTTGGATGGCGGCCAAAGGGGATTGGGGGTGAAACTGTCCTGCGATTTGGAGCCGAAGAGCCGGGTTTTGAAGAGCCGGGTTTTGGGTGATTTTGTGGTTCTTATCCAAAGCCAGACGTGTATACCCAGGTCTTGCAAGTGTCGGATTTTGTAGGTTCTTTTCAGACGTTTTTGAGATTTTGAAGCAGGGCAGATGCCTCTTCCTTCAATTTCAGTTGCGACAGCCTCGGGTGTGTGTGATCGTTGTGTAGGGAATCCTGGCTTCCGAACTTGGCAGTGTGTTTGGAAGGTTGTGTTCATCCACCAGGCAGATGGCATGTTAGTTTAGATCATACCCAGAAACATCCATTTTGCCAGCCATTCTGTCTGGTGCAGAAACATTTGAATGTGCCATTCAATAGGATGGGGTTTCCTTTGATTTTGCCCCTTTGCTGATCTTTCTAATGTGACAACGCATGGAAACATGATGAGTACTTCCCTGACCTTCCCTGAGCACATAAAATTTCAACTCACAGTCCTTTTGGAAGCTTCTTCTCCTCAAGTCCCTTCAGTGATGCAAGGCGACCATGTTGGAAAGACACAGCAAGAACTCTTAGCCCAAATCATTGGTAATGCACCTTTGATGTTTGTGATGGATGAACAAGCCAGCAGTTTTGAGGGGATGGGGTATCCTCTGCCGCCATCCAAGCCCTGGAGGACCTGTCCTGATCCAGAAGTTCTCAAGCAGTTTCAGGAGATGCAGCACAAAGATCGTCTCGTCAGCTTGTCGGCCAGTGCAGAGAAGCTCATGAAGCTACTGAAGGAAGATTCATTTCAGGATGGAGCCCATATCGATTTCTTCGATCTCTGAGAAGGTTTGCTGTGAACCCAATGAAATGCTGCAAAACGCCATGGAACTCTCCATGAACTCCCCATGCTCGTGCTCTCCACCTCTTTCACTTCCCAACGAGGAACCGTGCTCTCGACCGAGCGCGTGCGAGCGCCAGCGCCGGGTCGACCCGGCCGTGGCGGTGCATGACCCGCGCCGAGCGACCGAGCCGGCGGAAAAGACGTCTCTCCGGGGCATCCAACCGGTGGATCCGCAAGGAACGCTACGCGTCGTAGCTGAGTAGCTAAGTGCCCAAAAACTACGAACGTAGCAAGAAGCTACGAACGTAGGCAAGGAAGCTACGAACGTCACATGGGTTGGAAGTGGATGTCCACTTCCAGCTGATTTTGGTCTTCGGATTTCGGGCCATGGCATCCACTTCCAGCGAGTGTAGGATAAGTTTCACAGGTACCTGGAAGAGTTGGCTAGGTTCGAGTGGGGGCATCCGTCGACTATGTCCAGGAGAACGTGCTCCATCGACTTGCTCCATAATTACGAACGATCCCGAGGAACCCAGGTCTTGCGGTGTTTCATCGGCAGATGAGTTCTGAAGTATCACCATTCAACCCATTCAAGAGCTTAGACCCCCCCAAATGGCACATTCTCACAGAAAGTCCTGGCACGCAAGGGTGGAGGCAAGCGCAAGGGTGCTCTGGCGGTGTATTTGGAGCCCTGGCATGCGGACGTCTTCGAGTTTTTGGAGCTGAAGAAGAACCATGGGATCCTTGGGTGCTGCCGCGGAGGGCGGTGAGGAGGGCGGAAAGGTCCGGGTCAAGAACCATGGGGGTCAAGGGTGGCGACACGACACTCCGAACACATCACATGGAAGTGGAAAACCCACTGTTGTAAAGGAAAGTAGTCTTCCAAGGGACCGTTTTCCACTTCCATGTGATGTGTTCGTCAGAGTGTACACATCATGGAACATCATGGAACGTGAATGAAGAACGATGCCAGATGGTGCTGGCTGACTGGTCTGGCTGTGGTGGACGACTTTTGGGCTTCCCGCTTAGAGCCTCACGAAAATCTGATTCGGACGTTTAGCACAGGTGTAACAGCCATGTGGTGACCACAGTCCCCTCCGTGAGTCACCAGCAGCTTTGTGCATTCGGAACCATTTGGACACGATCTGAACTGTAAAGAACTGAGGCCATTCAGGTAGCTCTCGTAACAACAAACAAGCCACAACACCCACACATGACTTGCCCGACTCAACTCTCCGCCCTGCCCCCTTCCAAGGAAGGAGGAGCAGCGAGCAAGGGACTTGTTCTACGGCCTTTGGGTCCCAGACCTCTTTATGAAGAGGGTGAAGGCGGACGAGGACACGACCTCCTAGTGTGTGATGCGCTGTCACTGTCGCACACAGAGCGAATCGCGGGGTGCGCCTCTTTTTGTTTCTGCGTGTTGCATGAGGTAACGGTCTAGATGTATGGAGCTCTCAGTACTCACCATGAGAACGCCACTTGCAACCGAACGGCAGTTCTGAACGGTGCCGAGGTTCATTGAACGTATGGAACATCATGGAACATCATGGAATTGTAGTGGTAGAAATCATCATGGAACTCTACAAGGTGTGTTGGCTCTGCCCTCGTTTTCGCGCGAAGGAGTGGACCTTGTTCTGCCCGAACGAGGCCTTTGACGAGAAGAGCGGAAAGACACTGATGGATCCTCACTTTGGGTTTGGTGAACGTGGGTAAAATCCATAAACAGACGTTGTGTTTCTTCATTGTTTCTTTTAACAAAATTCGTTTCTTTTTTCTTTTGTGTTGGTCCAACCCTAACCATCATTGGACCAAACCTTCCACCTTGAAGGCAAACATCCTTCACCACCTGAAATGGTGGAGGGGCTTCTTTCATCCCAAGTCGCGCGACTCCTCGCGCGACTCTTCACGTCGGTGGTGCCCGTGTCGACTCTTCCACCAAGGGTTGAGGGTCGGAGGGTCGACAGCCTCCAATCCCAAATAACTGAATAGTGTACATGTCGTTCTTTGGGTCTTATGATGTCCAGAATCCGAATGCATCTTCCGGGTCTGAGAATGCCTATATCTATCACCGTGTGACGCACCACCATTGACCAACGACGAACCGACCGGCCTTTCACCGACTCCTTCGGCCTTAGCAGCCACCGCTGCGAAACAACCGGGCGCAGCGTCACGTCGTCCGTTCGGAAACCGCGGGGAGTTCGCCTTAGGACCTTTGGGGCGAGGACTTCGAAGAGCTCTACTGCCGTTTGGAAGCGCAAGGCAAAGGACGGAAGACGGTGAAGGCCTGGCAGAGCGCGCAGCTCGAGCGCCTGGAAGCGCTCGTGCGGAGCACGAGAGCTGGCTTAGCGGCGAGCGGTTGTTCTTTTGAAAGAACGAGAGGGTGGGCGGCGACAGTCAGGGCAGGAGAGTAGGGGTCACGAAAACATTTTAAAGCACAGTAAAGAATCCTTTCGAACCTCAAAACAGATGAGACATGAGCATGTCCGGGTTCGCAGTGGCAGGCGCAGCTCTTTGTGAAAGGATATTTTGTTTTTGATACTAATTAATTTTCTTTTTGATAGGATACAGACAATATTTTCTTTATATATATATATATGTATATTTATTTTCTGTTTGATAGCCCGGCCTCGTCCTAGCAGAGGATTCTGCAGTTTTTGCTGAACCTGTTGAATGGCATCACCAACAACGGACCCTCATCTTGTCCACATTCCACAAACTGGTTGACACGAATCGACCTGAGGTTGGAACTTACAAGAATCCACTAGAAAGTCTTTCATATTGAGGTCCAGAGTGTTCGCGTGACTGCCACCACAGACGATGTCCCAAACAGTTTTGATTGGATACAGAAGTGGGTGGAGACAACCCATTGGTGCATCCATCCGTAGCTGCACGTACAAACATCATGCAAGAAACGCCACGGCGTTTATATACATATTCCGTATTCCTTGCATCATAAACTATATCAAACATTTCAACTAGGCCTATGGTAATGTGTTGTGATGTTTGATTCTTTTGGAGAACTGTGGGACAACAGGATTAACAGGATTCCAGAACAAGTGGACGGCACGCCTCGCAGCTTCCAGCTCTTCAGCTATGTATGATGGTTTCCTCAGCAACGCTAAGGGGCACCTGTGGTGTGGGATGTTCCGATGGCCGTCTAAGGGGGCCAGTTTTGAGGTTGAGGTATGCAGTCCTCTTCAAAGACATCACGGAGTTTTGATCTGAGATCAAGCACGGAGTTTCGACCCGAAAACACCAGCCCTTTCCCATTGATACTTTCCTGAAGACACCAGCTTTTCACGGACTGGACAGGCGCTTCAGCTGTGGTTCCGCATTTTGGAAGCGCAGATGGAGACTGGCACGCCTTACATGCTGTACAAGGAGAGGGAGCCATAGGAGGTGAGAGGGGCTCGTTTTCGGTTTCTTGGTCCTTTTCCATCGGACGCTGGTCGGACACTCCGGTGAGCAACCCCAAGTTCTCATGGCTGCAATAGTACTCTCAGAACTCACTCTGCGTACACTCCAGAGAGACTTTGAAGGCCGACCAAGATTCCCTGAAACTGGCCAAACATGGATGGCGCTTTGGGGCCGCTGCAGCCTTCGGATCCGATCAGGGAGGTGTTCTCTCTTGCAGGTTTTGGAGGTTAACGACACACTCACTCGAAACGAACACGACTCGTACCAACACGAGGACTGATGGCAGGTTCATGGGGACTTTCCTTTGACAGAAAATCAGAAAGAGCCCTGACAGGGCCCTTGACACATTCCGAGAACAGCAGAGAGATCTGACTTCGGTGCAGACCCAAAGACCTGAAAGCCCAAGCTGCCCAAGCTGCCCGGTTCGCGGCCGGAGAAATAGGTTGGTCCGCAAGAACGCACCGTTCGCAACAAACAGATGAAACAAGACGAGGCCTCTGAAAGCGAGTGCCACTGACCCACGGACCTGACCCACAAACATGGGCTCCGAACGGATGACGATGTTCCGAATACCAGTCCGGTGGTGCCATCCACTTGCAGTTAATTCCAGGGAGTGTGATGGCCAGTTTCCAAACGGCCAGGTTTTCTTGCAACAGCGTTTTTAAAAAAGGTTGCACGTCATGGGAAGCACATCAGATTCTTCAAATGATGAGCCGCGCTTGGCGAAAGAAGCTTCCAGGTTGGATAGGTTCCTGTCCACCAGTACACCTGACATCATGTTGGTGAGTTCTTTAGCTTAAGCACTTACACTGGCATTTTGGCTGCTTTGGCCGCGAGGATCATGCCAACAGGAAGTCCAACCAGCAGAATCTGAGACAGCAAGGGGCAGAGAGGGAGGCATCCAGTGGTGGCCTTCCGGGTGACCGTTTTGCACCTTTCTACAGCATGAGGGCGCCACCTGATCGCTTTGGGTTTTGGGGTCTTCACTGATGGCTCTTGAAGAGAGTGCAGGGACTCAGAACCCAAAAGACCATTGGTAGACTCAGGTAGACCAACAGATCTTTGAGAATTGCCATTTGGGTCTGGCCGGTTGCCTCAAGTCCACTTGCCCGTTTCTGTCCTCCGAATTTGCGGATCAACGAGACACCCCCCCAGGCCACTGCAGGTTTTCCTCGGCTGAAAGCACACGCGCCCAGGAACTTGGGCACCATCCACTGCAGCAACCTCTGCACCGAGATCATCGAGTACACCTCGCAAGATGAGGCTATGGGTTCCAAAGAACAGCTATACCCTAGGGCTCCAACCACATCCTCAGAAGGTGGTCGGGGTGGGTTTGGGGGGTCTAACCACCTTTTGAGGATATGTGGTTGGAGTTTTTAGGGATACAAGGTAGGCCCATTAAGGCGCCAACTGGAGAGGTTCAGTCGGAATGAACACAGCCATCACCAGCATGGACAAATCATTCAGAGCTGGCACAAGCATTCGAAGTCCAGATCGGCCCAAGCACTTGGGAAACGGTGCCAGTGTCTCAACCGATGATTTTCCCAGCAGTTTTTTGCCACCTCTGCCGCTGGACGCTCCAGGTGGCTGTGTGCAACTTGGCCTCCATTGCATTACCCAGCTTCGTGGCAGAGGAGGGTTATGACTTTCAGAAGCTGTATGAGGCCAGTGGTCAAGCTGGAGAAGTGGAGCATCTGTTCACCAACTTGAACTCCTCCCAGTAGGGTAATGCTCCAGTGGTTTCACCAACTTGTTCACCACCTCAACTCCACTTGTCACCAACATCACACTTGAAATCCACCGTGTTCTCCTCCATGTTCTCCGCCACGCTACGGGTGAACCCGACCGACCTCGCGACCTCGCGACCTCCCGAGCCTCGACGCCAGGTGACGAAGGTCGTGACCCGAAACCTCAACAAGGTGCGGATTGGACCAAGGAAGCGCATCACCGCGGGCGCCCCGTTTTCCCGCATTTTTTTAATTTACATAATAACCATGGTGTAAGGACCCGAAGCGTGGGGGAGGCAGGTGAACGTTTTTTTTGTTTTTTTTGGGTCCTGGGACCTCAGTGAAGATCGTGAACTTGAAGGCTTCAGAGCACCGCAGCACATGTGATTCATATGATGCCCTAGGGCTCCAGTCGTACCTCCTCAGATGGTATTCGGGCCCTCCTGGCACCCACCCCAGTCCCACCTTCTTAGAAAGTACGACTAGAGCCCGGATGGGATGGTGATGTGGACAGGTGACGACCGGTGTACCCTCTCACCGGTGGAGGAGACCTTGGGGTCAAAAGAGGAGGCTGAGGGGTCGATCCCAAGAGACTGACTTGCTGCACTTTTGGGCCGTGTGGACCCACTTGGCAAGGCAGGATGATATAGTGGTTTCAGAGGTTGGATGGCACTGGATGGGGGTCCATATAAACCACCGACATTGGGGGCCCTTGGGCCATCTACTCTGAGCCCACTGTATATAGAAGGTGAATATTCAGTTTGAGACTTGGCCCTAAAGCAATCTTGGCCCGATTCCTTTTCCCTTTCAAGGTCATTGACCGGAACTACTACCCGGTGGAGCAGGCGCAGCGCTCCAACATGCGTCACCGACCCATCGGTCTGGGCGTTCAAGGTTTGGCAGATGCTTTCATGATGATGACGCTTGGCTGGACACTGATCAACCAGCAGCGAGGTGCAAAGTCAGGTCTTGGAGACCTTCAAATGGGACCAACGGTTCTATTTGGGGCCCTCTGTTGGAGCTCAATCGCCCCCTTCGTGTCGTTCCACATGGTTTCAACATGGCGCAACATGAGTCCGACCAGACTCGAAGAGGTCCGTGAGTGGCAAGTCCCTCAGGAAATTGCCCTTCGAGAGTGAAGAGGCCAAGCGCTTGAACGAGGCAGGGGGTGGGTGGACGGCGCTGGACTTTTGCAGTCTAGCCCAAGAGGGAGGATCTCTTGAACGAAGGTGCAGCATCTCTTCCGACCCAGAGGGGTCGATCCAACCCCATAGGGGTCGATCGCCCCGGGGTTCGCCCTCCTGGGTTCTAGGCAGGATGATGTCCCCTACTTGTATGTTCCGCTGCAGGACATCTTTGAGACCATCTATTTCGGAGCCTGTGAGGCTCGGGGCTCGTGGAGGGGCCACAGGAAGCATGAGGTGGCTTGTGGTTCTTTGGTGCCTTAATTCCCTGTACCTCGATGTGAGTGAGGTACAAGAATGTGTGAATTCTATGTGGCAAAAGAAGAGCACATGACAGCACATGTGTCCTCTAAGTGCCTCCAAGTACCAACTTTCTTTGACAGCGACAGTGAACAACTCTGAGTGCCTAAGGGTGTAGTGACTCAGTTGGAAAGTCAGACAGGCAGTGTTGGGTGGCACTCAAGGATGTGGGTTTGGGTGCTTGGAGTCATCACGAAGCGCCAGAAATCTGGGCTTGGGGTCTTTCACACCTGTCAATGATTCTGTTCAGCGAATGAAGGCAACAGGCCATATAGAACTGCGGCAGAGCTAAGATGATGCCTACCCCTTCTGGTTTGTAGAACATACATCAATGATACAATCTAGATGCGGGTCCAAAGCCAATCAACAATGCCACCATAGTGGCATGTGATTACTTCCCCTCCAATCATCCTTCTGTGTCCAGAAATGTGGCCAGGAAAAAACACCATGTGTTCCGAAGATCACAAGATAAAACCGTCCACTTCATCTTCGTCTGCGTCCGCTTACCACGTGACTCGACGACTTTTCACTCGTCATCTTCCCATCTTCTTCGTGGAGACGGTCGACCTTCGAGGCCTCCTGCGAGTTGGCCGAAGTGAATGGGACCTACGAGACCTATGAGGGCTGCCCGGTGAGCCAAGGCAAGGCCACGGCATACGCCGCACGGCATACGCCGGTGTGGCTCCATGGATTCAATGGTGGCTTGCCCAGGGATAGCAATTCCTTGGTGGAGGAAACTATCCATTCAACTCTTGGCATGTTCATGCTAAAGGTTATGCTTGGCAAACCGCAAAGGCCTCAAGGATATCACCTAGAATGTTGCCTGAAATGCCACATAGCCTTTTTGTGGGCCCCCCCCATCTCAAGAATGGGAATGCAGAGTCTCAGAGCCATCTGCAGGATCAAAGACAACCAGTCTGCAGAGTCTCAGCATGAGGGGACCCAAATCTCCGTGGCAAGACACCATTGAATCAAAAAGGAGTCGTGTAACTCATGCAACCAGTCTGTCTTCTCATCACAGTTAGCACAGAAATCGTGGTTTTGAACCGTAACTGTTTCTGGCGGGGGATTTGTTGTTTGCCTCAGTTACTGGGCTTTGTCATTTTCGATTAAACATCCATCTTTGCTGCGCACCAGGCCAGCTGCAGTTCGACATGTGGGGCGTGACGCCCAAGAGTGGGCGCTGGGACTGGATGCTCGGTGATGATGATGTGTTGGACGGTCTTCTGGAGGACTTCTCGGATTTCGGTATGAATATGACTGAACTACAAATTGCCACAAGGAGATGCACTTTCGCCTCGTGTTCCAACGGGGGTTCGCCTCTGCGGGTTCACCCTCTGTCCGATCCGAGGACTGAGTTGAAGCAGCGCATCGCCCAGAGTGGGCTGAGGAACTCGCTCCTCGTGGCGACTTGGAGATGAGTGGTGCCTTTTTGCTGTGTTTGGTGGCTTCTTGTGATGCTGGGTATAGTGGTTGGTATAGTGGTTTGATATGGTTTGATGGATTCCGTGCTCAGAAAGGATCCGTTTCATGCTTTTTTGGGGGGCCTCTTGGGGGTCTTTCTATCAACCTCTCCATCTCATGATCGCAGCCATCCAGGCCCATGTTCGCCCATGTTCGCCCGCCCGAGTCACCGAGGCGCCCATGCCGACGGCCTCGACGGCGCAGATCTTGGGGAACAACGAGTCCTTCGAGCCCTACACGTCGCCCGGTTCGGTCCCACGAACCCGCGCGGCTTCCGCGGCGGCTTCCGAAGCACGACGCGGGGAGCGGGGCGAAGGAAGCGACGCGCCCCACGGTCTCGCGTGACGGAGGGTTCTTCCGCGCAGCTCGCTCCGGAAAGCGGAGCGAATTCTTCCGCGAAGGCCAAGCGCGGGTGGTGTGGACGGTTTTCCCCTTTCCGGAGGGTCGGAGAGTGAAGACTGGGACTATTGGTGGGAGCGAGAGGTCACAGACAGACTTTCATGACTGGGGGCAGTTCGACCAACCTGTGTTGTGGGCTCTGCTGATGTGGATGGTTTTTGATTTGAACATGCAGGTGATTGGGTGGTCTGATATGGGTGGGGGGAGTAGTACAGTGAGTACAGTAGCAGCGATCCTACACTCTACACATGGCTTTCCCAACAACTAGATCTAGGATAGAGCCAGTACGTTTCTAGACGGTCTGGCCAGAATCGTTTCTAGAATTGTTGAATCGTGACGCCCCCAGTGGTTTGGACCTCTTATTTTTAAGCATGTTGGCCGAAGGACCTTCCGAGTAGCTGATGTATGGAGCTGATGACTGAAGTTGAAAAAAGTCATCTTGAATCACCTCAGATAGTCTCTCACTATGTGCCAGCCTGTATCCAACAAGTGTGGAAGTGGGAGCTTCCTCTCCACACCAGGTGTCGTTCTACCGTGTTTGTTGGAGATCGGAGAGCGGGCATAGGATGGGCCGACCGCAGCGTCATACGCCCCTCTTGGTAGACCTTCAACGAAGGGAGCCCCATGAGAAGAACGTCTCGCACCTGTGTGAGAAAATGGTGCCAGGTCTAACCACCGAACCTGAGGATATGGGCAGCCCTAAGGTTTATCCTCATGACATGCACGTTTCCCACGCGCTGCGCCACGCGACTTTGGCCCGGTGGGCTCGAGGCAAAACCTCTACGTGCGTCGTGTGCTGTCGGGCGAGTTCGTCCAGGTGCCGCGAGCCTTGGGTGGCTCAGAGATCTCAACGAGCACTTTGATGCGCTTTGATGCGGCGAACATCATTTCGATACGTATGTTTCCTTAACTGTATCCATATTCAAGGGACTATCACATGGAAGATTTTAGATAGATGTTTTCTTCTGAATGTAGGTCAAGGGTCATTGATAAAGAGGGCAATTTGATTTCCTGCCAACTGTTGTGTTGAGACATATGAATCAACTCAGCTCGCTCCTCCGCTCTGCTCTGCTTCCACTCAGCTCGAAACACCACCCCTCGCAGGTGAACCGACACCTGCTGAAGGATTTGATCGCCCATGGCCTTTGGAACGAGGTAGCGATCTGGGGTGGCGGTTGCGATCAGATCGAGTCTGAATACTCCTAGAACGGTGGAATGTTTGTGGAACGGTTGAATTCACTCCTGTTTTCGCCTCCAACCATGAATGAGGGATGCTAGGAGGAAAGTGCACTTATTGGTTTTGGTTTGTAAGCTTGGACAAACACAGTGAGACACAAGTACTGTTGACTGTTGATGGAACGGATCGGACACGTGGCTCTTTTTTAGCATCCCTGTTTACCTGAACAGCGGGAGAGGAGAGAGATGAGAGATGAAGCACCCAAGCGGCTCCATTTGGAAAGACCATGGGAAACACAACAGGATCAGCTTTTGGGGGAACTCTCACCGTTAGAGAAGGACCCCAATTCTGCGGATTCTGCTTCTCTCAAACATATATATCCAATTTTGGTTTTGCTTAAGGAGACTCCTTTTAATCTTCCCGATGCCCCATGGGCAAATCTCTTTGGGGGACTCTTGGTATCTTTTTTACCAGGGTTTCTTAAGCATTTTGCAAGCTCCAAGCACCCGCAGGATCCAGTCGTCGCTGAGTTCTTTTTTGGGACACGTCCAAATGTGAGCGTCTCAGTGTAGCAGAAGAAGACTCTGTGAACTAGAAGGTGTTTTGCCAGGTGAAGAGAACTGAACCCCCCCAAAACATCCAAAAGAAACCAGGACTCCCTGGAGAATTCAGACCTCACACTCTCATGGCAGAGGAGTTCCCGTGGTCAAAACGACAAGACCTTGCCACAAAGGCATGCACCCTCCACCTCTTTTGTTAGGAGCTACGCACGCAGCTGATCGCACAGAACGGGAGCGTGCAGAAGTTGGATTTGCCTGCAGAGATGAAGGAGTGCGCGGAATTGCCGTTCAAGCAGATTCGGCAATGGTGCAAGTAGAGTAACGTTGATAAAGGCAGTGGTACTTTGAAACTAAAGAAATGGTAGCGTGGGATCCCTTTCTTGCTGAAACGAAGCACCCCCATCCTCTCAATGCGAGGATGTAACCTTCGGACGACCTCGTCCAGGTCAACAGCTACAGTAGGCATCAGACGAGCGCTAAACCTTCCCCACACCTCTCAACTGAACATGTGTCATCACCGTGTCTTCTTGAGGAGCTCTATAAGACTGTCTGGGAGATCAAGCAGAAGGTGGTGGTGGACATGGCCGCGGATCGTGGGGCCTACATCGACCAGTCCCAGTCCCTGACGCTTGGACCAGAGAGAGAAGGGTGGGGTGGTCTACATTTCTATATCCCAGTTTGGTCCCAAGAAAGACAGCCAATTGGTTTCCTTGTCTCAATCCTGAACCTCATGCTTTGACTACTTCATCAGATGTTTTCATGATCACTGATCACTCACTTCTCTTGTGTTTCGTGTTTACATGGTCCAGTGGTCCTTTTCCGTGCCGGCAGCCAGGCTGGCGCCCCAAACCGAGCCCCCGCAAAGCCAAAAACACGCGCCGGCCGACTGCCGGTGAGGAACATTCACATGATCGATGCGACCACCTCGAAGCTCAGCTCGATGCACTTCCACGGCTGGCACCGGGGCTTGAAGACCGGCATGCGCCTCGGAGTGACGGAGCACGGTCGGACCGTGCCCGGTGGAGCTTTTTTCGGGTTTGGCTAGAGGTGGGTTTTTGGGAGGGTGTTGGAAGAAGACGGAGATGTTGCAACAAAAAGATGACATCAACATACATCAACATGGTAAATAAACGATTCTGTAATATATAGATGTAAATAGTGAGATGTCTTATACGATATCCTCTAGCTGGAGGTATATAGAACACATTGTTGTAGTCTTCTCTGGATTGTTTTGTTCAACTTTTCCAACATGTTTTGACCACCCAGCTGTTTCAATAGTCTCCATCACGAGAAACCACAACATCCTCCCCAACAACCACCTGTGGGAGGAGCTTCCCGAAAACCTGGGGCAACGTGGAGTCGAAGCGGAGCGTCACTTTTTGCCACCCGTTTCGAGATCCAAGACCTCCCCCCCCCCCTGCGCTGAGGTCCACGCCTGCGTCGGACACGTAGAACCTCTGGGACACGGTTTCCAGTAACTTCCTCGTGTGGAGCCTTGGTCAGGTACTACTTAAGGACGAAGGCGGCCGCGGATGCCATCAAGTTCACGGTGGACGTCCGGAGCGCCCAGTTGGGACGTCCGGTGAAGCCTTCAGCCTTCAGCAGCGCTGGTTCGGTGTTCCGAAGAAGCGACCGGGGTCGTGGGGGGCGACCGGGTCGTCGGGGACCGGAAGAGAGGCGAAGGTCGAGGGTCTCTTCTGCTGCAAGGTCCAGGGTCTCTTCTTCCGCGCACCAGGGTGATTTGGGAAAGAAGAAATTCGAACATCTCGTCAGTTGTGCCATCGCTTCGCTTTGCTTCGACGCTCGGAGGCATCACCAGCTGTCTGGGTACAACCATGAAAACGAGGACCGTCACTCGTGGACGACCGTAAGGTGAAGAAGTTGAAGCCTGAAGAGGAATCCATCAAAGCACCAAGATGCAACGACGAGCGTGGTTGGGGTGAAGAATAAGCCTTGAATAAGCTTGGCCTTGATTTTTGGCAAGTGGATGCAAGTGGTGCATCTATTTTTAGGAGTATGTTCAAGATAATGAGCTTATTGGGAGGTATCAAAAGGATAATTTTAATTACTTGGAATCTGTCTGTTTTGCATGTATTGCACAGAAGGGCTGTTGAGTGGTGAAAATCTCGCTGCTCGTCATCGAAACTGGGAGTTTTGCTGTTTGAACTGAGTTTGTGAATCAAAGTGTGCCAGGTTCTCTCTCTCTCTCTCAGGATGTCTGAGCCTTTGTTGAAGGGCTTCTCTCCAACCGAGTAGACCCGCCGAAAGCGGTGCCAAGATCGGTTTTGGGGTATCTTCACCCGGCAAAAGAATCACTACGTTGGAACTTTGATGGCATGGACCTTTGGAAGACTATTTTCCTCTGCAACCCAGTGGTTTTCAGGTTCCATATGCGTCTCTTCTTTCCTCTCCTTGGATAGGATGGTACACGACGGGAAAACCATCCGGCGCTTTTTTTGACCCCTTTGGCGAGTACGGGCAGAGCTTGATGAGCACAGGTTAGGATCACTGGGAAAGAAAACATCATTCACTGAGGAGGAGTGGGTTTTGCATGGATTTGCCACTTACACCCACCACAAACAATTAGAGTCTTATAGACAGAAGCCCTGTCACACACAGATCTGTGGAGGAATGGCACCTTGAAAAACAAGCGAACTTGAATGGCCCGTGGGGCTGGGGATTTTCCGGGTGGACGCAGAATGTGGACCGTTCTTCTTGTCTTCGTGGGGCTCTGGTTGTGATGAGAAGATGCATTGGGAATTAGATCCTTTCTTTTTCCAACCAGGCCTAGCGGGGCCCCTGTCGTCTTCATGGGGCTCCAGCTCCGGTCGTTTTTCTCTTCTGCGCCGTCCGGGAATGCGCAGACTGAAGTTGTGTGTTCTTGCAATGCTTTCACCTTGACTGAGGCACTGAAGGCAGAAGCTCCGAAGTATTCTTGTGTCGGATGCAGTGCCTAAGCATGCCTAAGCTCCGCTCCGTGCGGAGTGGGACAATGCAAACGAATGAGAGAGGGTTGAGCCAAAGATCCTTTTGTGGCAAGCTGGGTCGAGTGAAAGCAAGCTGGCTCTTGGATGATGTTTGATGCAAGTGAGGCCAATCTGGAGTTTGGACTCCGACCTCGATCCCCCCTTTGTGATCCTTTGTGCATTTTGCCGTTCAACAAAAAGCGCCCAAGAAACCTCAGTTCAGCTCACCCAGCTGGTCATTGTCACCGTTGAGATTCATCGGCGGTGCTGGGGAAATGGTCGTGGTGCAGAGAATACCACGGCTTTTCACTTCTGGGGGGTGCTGTGGGTTGGCGAGCGCACGCTGAGACCAAGTCGACTTGAAGCCAAGATCGCTCATGTGGATCCTATGTCCGACCTAAGCTGCCTTGGTTGGTAAGCTGCCCATACGGTTCAACGAGTAACGCATGGTAACGATGTTCCTGAAACTGGTCCCACTCGTCCGTTCCTGGGTCAACGGCCGGATGGATCCAGGATCCAACTAAATAACCTCTATATACTTGTACCCAAGACGTCCTCCCCAAACGACTCGAGAGTCTCACATGAAGTGAAGTGTCTGGTTGGTGATCCCTTCATGTCCAGTGTTGACGTGAAACGGCTTGGCAGAGTGCAGCTCAGCCTCCTCGCAGTTGCGGTGCGGCCGGGGAAAGGTCGTCTCCGAGACCACTGGACGTCCAGAGAAGCGAAACCGGTAGATGTAGATCTGGTGCCTGGAAAGAGCTTGAAACCCAAGGGTGCTAATGCCAGAACCAAAAAGATGCACGGAGTAACGACGCGACGAGTGATGGCCGGGAGTTCTTTTGGTTCAGAATGGTTTCTGTATTGTAATAGGAGGATATATAGGAGGTATGTGTATATGTATATAATGTTTTGACCTTTCGTTTTGGACTTTTCACAGTTCAACTTTGAATGTTGTGGCGCGTTTTCTGCTCAAAGGACCAGCTCGTCTTGGACTCATGGTGCGAGTGTATAACGTTGACTCTGGGTGCGGAGAGTTCTGCAGCTGAGACTTGATCTTTGGTAACGCGGTAACGCATGAGATGGACCAGTCGTGTGGCTTCCCTCGGGGTTGCTGGGGAGCGGTATGTGTAAGTCTATGTACGTAAGTCTATGTATATAGATCCATTAGTCTAGGTGTCCCATCATGGGTGGGAGCAACGAATGTCCGGCGAAACACATGCAGTGGCAGACGGACACAGAGTCATCACCGGTCGCTCGCGTCGTCGCATCAGGCACGCGCGGTGCGGGTGCATGTGTATCTGACCTGAAGGCACGCCATCATGGCTGCATCTTGGTTTCGGGAACTTTCCCCTAATGAGGCTTGGTCTCAGTGCTTTGGAGGGGGTCACTTCTTTTTGATCCGATTTGCTCTGATCTGCAGCGCATGTCTTTCACCACTTAGTCATGTGGAAGAAGTCCGGGAACGGAGTCTTCTCAGCTGCTTTGCTTTCCACCACTCAGCTGGGCGATGCTTTTGGCTGCAGAGCGTGTTTAGGAATTTTGGAAGAACACATCAGCAGGACGTGACGCAATCAAAGTCGATCAACTCAGGACAACGCAGTCAATCTGAAGTGAAGAAACATGTTAGACTGCATCGACCACTCCGAAAAAAAAACCATCACATGATTGAATCACATCTAGAATCGATTGTACCAATCAGCCGCTTCACAACAAACCTCGCACCAAAGAGAAGGTAGCTGCTCCAGACCCATCCCGACCCAGCCAGCCCCGAACGAAAAAGACGAACACGTTCTTCTTCGGAACCCGGTGACCCTCGGACCCTCGCCGTGGGCTTCACGGTGCTTCTGCGTCGCCGACTCCGCGGATGGGAGTGGCGTAGAAGCACAGATCGAGAGCCCTTTTTGCGCCCGGGGAGCCCGGACCAGCGAGCGAAATCATCTTTGGATGGGGTCGGATGGGCGCTTGGATCAGCTGTTTCTGGCTTTTTGGAGATCAGCACTGAGTGGACTTTCTTATGGTCTTAGGTTGATGTTCGACCAAACATGAGCGCTTCAGAGCTGTTGATCAAGCACTCGAACGGCTACGAAGCTCCAGTTTGGGAGTCTCTGCGCTTTCCCCGCTTTCCCGGATAAGCATCAATTTCATTGCCTGACATCCACCGTCGCCCACGAAAGAAAAAGCAACAAAATCTACCAAAGAGCTACAGCAAAAGCGAAGAAGTTCCACTTCAGCTTGCGAATGTGCCTCGCTTCTCCCTCAGATGTCCCAGGCAGAACTTCACATGCACAAGTGGCTGGGGCCCCAGCTTTTCGGCGTCAGTTGAATCCGCTACGACCTAGCCAAGAAGAGCCAAACACCCCAGAAAATCGCCCCAAACATCAATCTAAATCGATGAAGGACATGGAGCTTCACGAAGCTGTTTCAGGTGAAACTGATTTCTCGACCGAAGACTTCTCTTTGAAGACTGTTGGCATGGACCTCTTCTTTTCTTGCTTTTGTAAAGAAAAACAATCAAGAAAAACACCTGCCGTGGACATAAAGAAATCTGCTGACATCGAATGGGCGCTAGGCGAGCGCCCTGCTGATTCGACTGATTTGTTTTCAGGAAACGGCGATGGAGCCCAGCTGTGAGGCAACGGGCGGTTTGGGAACTCCTGAGAAGGAAGGGAAAGAATGTCTGGGACTTCTGCAGATTTTCGGAGATTTCGTGAAGAAGAACGAGATGTGTAGGGGTTTTGCGAGGCTATTGGCCAAGAACGAGATGGGACTTGGAACAGCAACATGGGACTTGGAACTCGACTGAGGATTCGGTTCTCTGGGCGATTGGTTTGAGCGAAGATTTAGTGCAATCCACTGACGTCCATCATCGTCCACCACCCCGATTTGCGGCCTCAGAGCCCTCGTGTCGTCACCAGAGCCCTCGTCAAGTCACCAAAAGCACCCCGGTTAGACCAATTTTCATGCATTCAATCCCAATCACGCTAACTCACACCCCCAAAACATCTGTGGCAGTTGAGATACCCTTTGACCAACAAAGCGCTTTGCAGAACCTCGTTTTTTTTGCAAGTTCATGTGCCCCTTTGACCATCCGAACTCCTCCCCCGGTCCCTTCCAAACCCGTCGGTCCAGGACGTAGGGGCCCCGACCGACTTGAGTGCGGCGGAGGCGGGAGGAGCAGGTCGAAGGGGTGTGATCCATGGAGGGTGCCGGTTCCGGGGTGCCCCTGTCACATCACATCCACAGCCCCGGTCGGATGAGACGAGTGTGGACTACCCCCGAGTCTACCAGGTGACTCCTGGTTTGACTACATCTGCGATAAAACACCCCCCTTTGGGGTGAGCACCGTGAATGAAGACGGTCAACACCACTGAGCACTGTTGGCGAACACAGCCAGTTGGTCCGTCCGTTCCTGGATGCCGATCCCTCGATCCCTTCGGGTAAATGTCGCACCCGAACGGGCGAACACGGTTTCAGAACACCACAATGAATATATATATATATATATACATATTACATAAACTAGCCTGAAATGGCTTTGATCTATTTATGGGATGATTGAATATATATATATATACACATACACATAATAGTGATTTGGTGTGGTGGTTGCTAGTGACTTGATGCATCAGACCAAATTTGTATTATCCTGGGGTCTAGAAGTGAATCAGACCATGTTCTTTCATCTGAATGGGGTAAATAACACAATCACCACCCCAACGAGTGCAGGAGTGTGTGTGTTGTCATTGGCCATTTCGCACCTCACAAAACCCAAGAATTCACAACCCCCTGGATTCTTTGTTGTCCAGCTGGCGGCTTTTTTCTTGGTTGGCAGAGATGCTAGTTCACAGCAATCCATAGTGAACCGTTCCGGTCACTGACCGGTCGAATCCCGGAGCGCCGCCGCCGTCTGCTCACCGACACGGGCTCCGTCTCGCCAGGCAGGGATCGCTGCGGCCGAGGCGAGGCTGCGGGGTGGTGACCACGCCCCAAACTCCGGGGGTCGAGCTTCATTGAAGCTTGGAAGCATCTCCAACCTGGGCGCAAGAAAGGAGACTACTTGGAATCTAAAGATGCTCGGTGAAAACCAGTCCACCTTTTTCAGCCCGGATGGCACTACCAAAGATTGAGGTAAGAAGCAGGATACACGAAGCACTTCTCAGTGCAGTCAGAAACAACACACGCAGAAACTTCACACTTTTTTGCTTTCTTTGCTGGGCCTACCGTGCGCAGATAGTTACCGCCAAACTTGGGATGTCACCTCTGATGATTCAGCTCTAACCTGCCCTGTGGCGCATTGATTGTGATCTTGGAGATGAGTGGACATACGTGGTGTGCCCACATGCAAAGGAAATCAGTTTGGAACATTCCTAAGCCCAGCTGACATGTGACATGCGTATATTCCTAGTACCCACTTGACATCCTTTTTGATAGGAAAAGGCAATACTTTGGAGAATTGATCCTCCAAAACAGGGGCCACTCAGGTTCTAAGCATATACAGTATATCCCAGACCCTTCTCTCGGTTTCAGAATTACCGTTTTACGGGAAGTCACTAAAGCCTTTAGAGAAGTAGTAGGCTACTGGCTAGATTGACATAAGAAGCTCAACCAAGTTCTAGAGGAGTATGAGTCTGAGTAATTCTATCAAGCCTCAACAACTATCATTGAAGGATTTGACCCCTTGTGCGAGTTGCACATGAGGATCAGAATCTAAAGCCAGGCCCAAGTCCCTTTCTGGTGTGATGCAAACCATTTAGTCTAGCGTCAACTGAGTGGCTCTGGATCAACGTCCGCTCTGTTGATGAACGAGGTCTCCTGGGACCAAGCCCTTTTTGTGGACCATGTTGACATCAGGTCCTCCATACGACCTTTCAAAACGCCTGCATCCGTTTTTGGAAGCCGAAGCTTTCCCCAGAGATCCCCCCTGTTTTTGGGGGAGATCTCCGGTGGTTTGAGGGAACTCAGAGAAGTGATGCTGACCCATAGCCACCTGGTGCCCAAAGCAGAACTGGCGGCCACGAGTTCCCTTCCCTTCGCGGCCACATCCGAGCTTTTGCTCGAGAGCGAAAGGCGGCAGATGAGGTGCGGGAAAGCGGGAAAAGCGAGAAGAAATGAATTCGACAGGTGGTAAGGATTGGCATTTGGGATGAGATATGCTTGATTTGGGGTGGTAAAATTTGAGAACATTTACCTGGCAAGACAGTACTGTGTGACCTTAAAGCTGTCAAAACCGTGACCTGGACCTTTCAAAACGGACTGCATGGATCCTTCCCACCCTTTTAGGCGCAAGGGAGTGGAGCGCCAGGGAGTGGAGTCGGGCTCGTCAAGTGAGGCTCGTCAACAGGTCAGATCGGTGGTTTTAGCAGGCTTTGGCAGGAGGTGGCCAAAACCGAAAAGAGTGGGAAGCTGGAGGACAGAGAGAAAGAATTAGTTTCAAAGGTTATTGCTGTAGATTCTAGGTCTGGCGGGGCATGGGAAAGAAACAACTCGAAGAAAGTTGGGTGGCATTGCGGATGTTTATCAGTGGTTTTTCCCCGAAGATTGATTCAAATCTGGCACCTAAGCTTCTAGCATGAAAAAAGTGGAATCCTCGGATGACAGAGAAACAAACAAACGAACTCGTTGTTCGACAGGAGGACTGGGATGAGGAAGAGGCCGGTGACCGGCTGCATGGATTGGTGGATGGAGGGCGACTCGTGTAACTCGTGTCAGGCAATCAGGGATTCCTGGAAGAAGCTGTTCCTCTTCAGAGGTCTTTTGTTTCTCTCTTTTTTGAGGTGCTTGAAAAAACCAACACAGTCGTCAAAACGACACCGGTCTGTAGCTGTGGATGAATGGATCGTCGTCGACTTCTGGACTTGTCCAACCCCCGTGCGGACGGACCGAAGACTGGACTGCGGTCAACCGATGGGATTGACCGAAGCCGAAGCGCCAAGCCGGATTGGATCGGTACAGTTTCGATCAACTGGATGACGTGTGCGACGCCTGGCGTTGTCCTCTGCCCAAGCCATGTGGGGTGTGTCTTTATTAATGTATTAATAAGGAGACACTCAGGGGTCGAACTGGGAGGTCGATTTCATACACCCATGCTGGTCGAACTGGGCGCCGTACCCCATGTCTTGTGCCGTACCCTTCCTGCGTGGTCCGCCCTTCAGCACCATCGAATTCTCCATGGTTTGCAGCATAGGCTCGCACCGAACCTGCACGCCGCAGCCGAACATGGAAGACTAAGCCACACGGAGCATACGGAGCCCTTGGCAAGCCAGACACCGAGAACATGGATGTGGAAAGCAAAGCAAAAAACCTTTTGGATCACACCGAGCTCTTTGTGTGAACCATCGCGTGAACCCCCACAAGGTAGCTCGGGGCAGTTGATGGTCGGTGGACGAAGACCCGGTGGTCCTCAGCCAGGTGGAAGAGGAAGAGCGGACCACCGATGGGCTGGTTGATCCATTGCAGGACCACGCGCGGTGCACGCAAAAAAGATCGGGGGTCGCAAAGCTCTCAGGTTCTTTCTGAGTTTCTTCCATCAAGTTCTCAACAAAATGGCCAGATGTCCATGTGGACCTTTTGCGAAGACTATGCCGTGTTGCCCCCGGTCGTGTTGCGTCGCGTTTCATTGGGAAGTACATGTCCTTTCCTATCATGCCGTGACTTCTGCAACTGCCTGTGCAGACGCCAGCAGGGGGCTGGTTTGTGTGGTGTGGACTGTCAAGGCACTGGAGTTCCCAAGTCTTTTTGGTGATATCAAATCCAGACAAATCGTTTATGGTTTTTGGATTTCTTGGATATTTGTCATATGCGCTAAGTTTCCCCAAAAATCTAGGAACCAAATGAACAGTGCGAGGGCTTTTGCAAGGAAGCGGCCCCCTGCCCTCATGGGGGAGCTTCCATTGGAGGAACCAGAGCTTTCTTGCGTGTCAGGTACTAGTAGCTTCCTAGGTCCTATACCTCCTCACGGGCTCAAATAAAGGAAAACAACACGAGAACAAACACAAAGGTATGATATGTAATATAGTATGAATATCCGTTTGACTCTTTGCATTGGCTGTGGAGTCTGGCCGGTTCCCACATTTTTTCATATCTTCTGTGTCGACTTTGCTTCGATTGCTCGACCACTGACGAGGGATGATGTGAGTTGGAGCAGATGATTGGACCGATTCAAAATCAACTCTTCCCTTTTCTTCCAATCCATGGCGCAGTGCGCCATGCACAGCTCGTTCGTCGTACTTCTGCTGGGCTCAGGACGAGAAGATGGCTCCTTTGGGTCCAACGAAAGTGGGGACACCCTGCTGGCTTCAGCTTCGACGGACCAGCTCGACGGAAGCAGAAGAATCCCTCCATGGATCGCAGAGATGGATGTTCTCCGCGATGAGATTCCAAAGGGGTACACTCCCAGAAACAAACATGGAAGTGGACAATCCCACGTTTGTAGAGGAAACATCGTATTCCAGGAGGCCTTTGTCAGTCCACTTCCATGATGGTTAGAGGGTATCTCTCGAGGACACAGGGGCACTGGCAAAACAGCATGACACTCCCATGAAATCATCCTGTTTCCTGCCTGGCACCACCCACTGGTCTTCGGATCGGGTCCTCCGTGTTTTCGAGGCCGTTTGCCATCCACTTCCATGGTTATCATGGTTTGCAGGAAGGTGAGCCACATGATGAAATCGTAGGAGGTGAAGCACGTACCCTGATTTATGTAGCTTGGTGAAGCATTTTCTGTGACATTTCCCATTAACCATTTGGAGAAACCACCTGGCACAGACCGCACCCCTGCTCGCGAGACGGTCTCCACCGGCACCGGACCTAGCCCTGACCGGTCTACGAACACGGGTGCTGTCTGGATGGAAGGGGTCGATGAAGTCCTGGATGGAAGTTCTTTTTGGAGTGGATGAACGGCCAGAGGGTCAAAAACACAGCCACAATGGATCTCAATGTTTTCTACTCGGTGATTGGAGGCTTTTCGGATGTCTCATTTATACATCTCGTTGGAGGGTACTCCCCATCCGTTTCAAGGAACACACGAACTCTCCAAGGCAAAGCACTCGACTTATGGAACAGTTCCATCCGTTTCGCAGTTCCATCCGTTTCAGACGCCGCGGTCCCGTAACGCGAACCGTCCCATCCGCCAAGCCGGCCGGCCTGGTCCAGGAAGAAGCGAGGAGAAGAAAGCGTCTTCAGGACCCCGGAAATTCAGGGCAACGGTTGCCGCTTCGCAGCGTCGAAGGGATGTTCCCTCAGACCCTGATGGACACAACATGTTCAATGGCTCATCCTTTGAAAGCCCAAAGCAACTGCTGACCAACCGCTTTGGGTCCCCTGTTTTCACCGGCCCATTTGGGGCATCCTCAGCTAGACCGGTCCCGCGGGTTCGGACTTCAGGACTTCTGGCCCGACTCGGACGAGGCGCGGTGGGAAGAAGTTGACAAAGAGAGATGCGAACGTGCTTTATACAGTTATAGTTACCAATACCTCCTTGTGACTGTGAAACGCTTCATTTCTTTAGAACTTCATGGTATTTCCATGTATTTCCCTGTGCTTCGTTGGGACTGGGGACTGGGCGGTTGATTTCACAGAATCCTGGCGATTTCGTGATCCATGGATCAGTGAGAGAACTCGGAGAGAACAACGGTCGAATCGTTTTCACCCGATCTGAACGGTTTTCGTACCTCACCTCCCTCCTCGTCTCTTCGTCTTCGTCTCCAAGTTGACCAGGTTGATCCGGGGGGATCCTTGACCGGTTTTCTGTGTTAAAAATGTTAAACAGATAATTGCGGGGCCTCGTTCAGTGCCCAATGAGTCAATCGTTTGCATCACATCCGTTCTTCACGAAGGTTGATCCTTATGCCTTGAAGGTGGCGATCGAGAGGGCGGCCAACCCCACCCCCAAAGATTCCATTCCAGGATCTTCAATAGAAACAACTACTGCATGTCCGATGCAGTTTAAGGCCCCGGACTTTTCACTGAATCCAGGTGAATCATCTGCTTGATCTGCTTCAGGACGATGAGTCCTATGCCCCCGGGCGTGAAGAGGAGCTGGTCGATGGATGTGGGGCGATGGTCGGGGTTTGGGATCTGAGTGGTTCGTAGAAGTTGGTCGAAGGTCGCCCCCTGTCGAACAGGAAAGCAGATAGATCGAGTCAAAGGACGAGTCAAGGTCCATTGGTCATCCGTGTTTTCGGGGCCGTTTTCCATCCACTTCCACCATGATTGTTTCCAGGGAGTGTATTGCTTCGTATTCCAGAATCTCGTGGACGAGGTCCGTGTACTTGCGAATGGATGGAATCCTTCGAATTGGGTGGTGACGGGTTCCTCAAGGATCGCAGGGACCAAAGTACCTGATTCACATTTGGATGGCGTAGGTCCTAACGCAGCTCCACTAAAGGAGCTTCGGAGTCACCAAAACGATCCAAAACGGCCTCTTGTTAGCCAACCCACCCCATCAGCCAGTTCATGACGAATTCTTCCAGGGGCTACACTGTTGGGCTCCTCTGCTGATCGTGGCAATGCAGTGGTTGAAATCATGGGTTAATCTGGTGTGAACATAGTGGACTTGGCCTCGCCTACCCTCCCAAAAGTGGACCTGTCCATGGTGGAATAATACTTGGCATCCTCTTCCAACAAGATGTAACAGGCCTCACCTCACCTTGGCCAAAGGCCAAAGGTCTGACGTCAGAGTTCTTACCTGCAGTTCTTGGCCGTCCGATGCGTTGTGATTTTTGGGGCATGGTCACACACTTTTTCGTATCTTTTCGTGTTGAAATGGTCGTTTCATTGGGCAGGAGGATGACGATGATGATGCTGGGGTTGGGGTGCCTCAGGAAACCTGTCTTATTGGACCCATGCATGAACTAATCATCCTGGAAACTGAGCCACGGGTCCAGGTCAAAATCAAACAGGATTCCCACTATGCCCAACTATATAATCAATAGATACACTGAGATAATCTGAGATATACTGACATTCTGTTCATCTTGGGGTGACACTTAGCAAGACTTAGGCCGGAGGACCCCCAGCCACATGATGACCATTCATGTCCAGTGTTGACTAGCAGCACTGTCTCGGACATCACGTGATGACTTCAGTCATCCACACCACAAAAAGGAACCCAAACTCGTGATGTCGCTGATGTCGAACTCTCCCAAACTCGTCGGCAACTCGAGTTCACCAGGCAACCAACGAGCTGAAACGTGACGACCCGGGTATCACATCGACGTGCGACGACCAGGTCGATGGAGCCGATGGTTGGTGATCCAGGTCGTCCCAGGAAATCCACTTCGGCAGTGCTGGTGATATCATTTCAGCCTTGTACCTTGTTGGGTCTTAGGGGTCTTAGTCTTTTGGAGCGCAATACTGGACTCACACCCAACCTGCCTCCCAACCTCTCGTGAACTCGTGATCATGCCAAGATGCGGCAATTCATGGAAGGCAAGGAGCGGCGGTATGAAGGGGAGGGCCTGTGTTTGAAACGGAGTGGGTGAAATCTGTTGGGTGTGTGTGTTCGTGCGAGGAAGATGTTGCAGAACCTTCAAGCATCTCCAAGGCTTTTGTTTAAGTTTTCAAGTCAGAAGACAGAGCACGCAAACATGGTTGCGTGCTCAGGAAAGTAGCTGGGCCGACAAGCATGAACATATTACTCAAGGCAAAAACAACAGAAACATACAGAAACACTATTAGCACCGGTTTGTTCAACCTATATTAGGTTTTTGCATCGTTCGTCTTCACCACGACCAAGCGAACGGTCTTCAGGATGTGCTGTTCTTTCAATCGATTCTCGTCCCCACCGGTGGCTTTGCACCCGAAACCGCGCCGTCCTCGCCCCACCGAGTCCTCCACCGGCTCAGGGAACCGCTGGGCGTTCCGGCACGAGGCGGGTCGGGGAAGACCGGGTGGGTCGCGCGAGAAGGCTCCGAGCCAAAGGGCGGAGCGAACGTTGCTCCGTTCGTCGTACGGCCAGGAGCCCCTACTACTAGTAGCGTCCGATCGCTCCGTTCGTCACGGTGCCGGGAGCCCCTACTAGTAGCTTCTTGTTTCGAAGGGTGGGGAGCTGTTTTTCTTCGGTTTCTGCCACGAGGAAGTGGAACAACAGGATGAGTTGAGGGGGGCAAATGAGACTTGGTCCGAAGTGGATGGGAGCTGAGTTCGTGGTGATTGCTCCGTTCAGGTCAATTGATCACCAAACCATGGTAGGTTGACACCCCTTATAGAGATCCATCAACCAGAGTGCCACGGTTTTGACCCACAACCATATATGTTCAATCCTTTGCCACTTCCTAAGCCAGATCGGACATTTGAGACGTTCGGAATTCGATGGACATGCATCCCATGTCGTGGAGACGGATCGAAGGATCGTTTTCAGGTGAGAAGACCGAAAACCATGGCTGAACCGGGCGATTAGGAGGTGGTGCAGAAAAAGATCGTCCATTTACAGGAGGGACACCATTTTCTTTCCTCCCAAAGATGATGTTAGAATCATAAGATGTCCATCTTTTTGACGGCCTTAGGCTTTTCAGGCTCAAAATTCGGGATTCTTGAGTTGTTTGTTCCAGTTGCTGGTTTTGGCATCACTGGTCCGCACAGATGGGCATCCATCATGAGCCAGCAGCCAGCTATGCATCAGACTTTAGCTTGGTGAAGGAAGGGACGCTGGGTGGGAGAATGTGAAGAATCACTAGACTTGGCATCCTTTGCTCCTGCCACTTCCTCCAGTCCCTTTTAACCCCTCCACCGACACTGGCCACTCTGTGGACGCGTTTTGGGAAGGCTTGGCCTACGATGTTGAAGAGCCTCAAGGAATCGCCGGAGGCCGGACTTCGACCGGACAGCTGAGTCGGGGTCTTTTGGGATTGATGCTTTGGATGAGGACTTTCAGTTTCTGGTCACACATTGACCAGAGGCAAGCCGCAGGGGCTTCTTTTTGGGCCACTTCTTTTCATATCTTTTCATGGGTGCTTGAGAGATGAATCGGGCCATGACCAGCGATGTGGGCAAGTCGACTGCAGTGTGCGGATTCGTCACTTCATCAGTCCAAGGGCTGCCAACGTAAGGAAAAAAGGTGGAAAGAGAAGACATCATGATCAGAATCGCTATTAGGTTGGAAGCCATTGCTATTATTAGGTTGGAGGCCATCAGAATCAGAAGTCCATTCATTTTTGCACCTGCCCGTCCTGCATACCTTGGTGATTTTGGCTCTGAACCAGGTGCCAACCATGAATGAAGATGCCCCAGGGCAGACGCCTGCTGAAGGGGGCATGCTTACCAGGTTCAAGCACAGTATGCAGAATGAACCGGTTGAAGATTGAAGCAGGGCAAGGCAGGGCAAAGTAAGAAGATCAGTATCCTGGGCTTTAAGACCACGGCAACGAATTTCTGGGCTCCCGAATCCGCAGCCCAAAATCGACTCCATCTTCCCAATCGACATCCGGGACTAGGGAGGCTCAAGCAGCACTCCATCAGCCACCAGCGTAGATTTCGCCGATCTGAGACATGTGAAGCAATCTCGTCACTGGAACAAGCACATAGACCTTCTTGTTTCTATTAGCTTTTTGTTACTACTAGTTTGGCACTTGATACTAGTAGCGATGCACTTGTTCCTAGTAGCTTCTTGTTTCTAATACTCAAGGCACGGCTCCTTTTCTTGGACAGAGAGTCCTCTTCTTTCTTCTTCCTTTGCCCCAGAAAACCTGGGGCTCGACCCCCATCCCTCCCCCCATCCAAGCCGCTCCAAACGTCTGCGATGTCGACGCCGGTGCCCTCCGTGCGCTCCGTGCGCGTGAGCCTGTTGAGCGGCCGCACCGTCGAGCTGGACGCCGAGGATCAGCTCGTGCTGCAGCTTCTGCGGCGCGCGGAGGCCACCGACACCACGTGGGGTGCACCGAGCCGGAAGGACATACGTCCCCCCGCCCCCTTCACGTGTGAAGAGTTGGGACTCGTGTGAACACATCCTTCAATGGCCGTTCGTTGGTTCGTGGTGTGCGTGGGTTGTTCTTTAAAAGCATGTGGACGTCAGCTTTTCCCGTCAAAGCTCTGTCTATATATTTATTCTTGATTGATTCGGGGGGTGCTTTCTGTTTTACTTCATGTTGTGGGATTCACAATCCAATCTAACTTGAGGGAAAGACCTTCCCCAGGTTCAGAAAAGCTAGCAAAGAACCTCAAAGAAACAACCCAAAACCACATCTGCCCCAAAGCCCACCTAAAATGATCCATGTTCTCCACCCCAAAAACCACCTCGAGTCCGAGGCCGCCTTCGGCCGCCCTTTGGAGTGTCTTCTGGACCGCGGCCGGCCCCTGGAACCCCATGCACGCCTCACGGAGCCATGCCACGAGAACGTGGAATGCTTGGAGCTGACGGCAGTGGCCAAGGGCGCACAGCTGGTAGGACATCGGAGGCCAGTGGCCCAGTGGCCGTGGCAGGGCCGCCGGTAGGGGTGGCTGTGGAGGTGGCTGTGGAGGTGTTAGGCGGGTGTTTTGAAGCCACAGGACCACATGGGTTTAAACTTAACTAAAGTGCAAGCTCTCTTGATGGCAAGGGAGTGACCTCCACCAGCTTTCATGGAAGTGACCCTACTAGGGTGTCTTGGAATCCATTGTTTCTGCGATCCAAGTCGTGTAGAGTCCGACGTCCAGACCAGTGACGGTCCACAGATGCCGATGCTGATGCTCACCCCGCATGACGCATCCCTCCGCCGCTCGTCCCAGGGCACTGGGCTTCGCCTACCTACGTCCGGACGGTGAGCTGGTCGGCTGGGGCTGCGGACCCCGGCGGCGCGTCAGCGGAGTGAGGCAGGGCGACGGGACGGGAGCGGAGCGGCAGTGGTTCGAAGCTGGTTGGAACACGCCAAGAGTCCAAGAGTCCAGGTGTGGAGGGAGATAGTTGTGGGTTGGGGTGATCATGTGGATCATCGCTAATGCTGCTTTGAGAACAAGATGCACCCACAAATCTGACATGACGAGCGAGCGTCAAAGAAACGCGAGCACGGCACCGCTAACACTACTCCGGTGCCCCAGGCAGGTGGCGGTGTCTGAATGCAGTTTTGCCGCCATCCGCGTGGATGGAAGCCTCACCACTTGGGGATGTCCTCACTTCGGGGGCGACTGCCGAAACGTGCAGGAGCTTGGGGGAAGTGGGCGTGTGCGGTGTGTGTGAGTTCTTGGCTGCTTGAGAAAGACTTCATGTTGGATGGGAAAGCTACAACAGTGCTTACATTGCAAGCCTTGATCAAACCGAAATGGGGGGGCAGTGTTCGTTGACTTGGGCAACATCTTTTCCATATCCTTGCAGGGCCACCGCTTCCCCTAGTACTTTTCTCTTCCCACGAAGGCTACCAGACAACATCTTAGTGGGGCCTGTGGGGCCTGTGGGCCGACCGGTCTCCCGAATCGTGGAACAGGTAAACAAGCGGAAGGAAGTCACCGATCGTCATGGGGTCTCCCCAGTGTGACGTCTACCGCTCTGACACCGCGCTTGAGCGCAGTTTTTGTTGTTCCTTTACGCCCAACTCACCCATGCCGCAGAGGTATTTTCAGCTTTTTTTTTGTCCTATTTCACCATGTGAGACTCAGAGATGTGCGACCCACAACCCACTAGCCCGGATGGAGCGTGTTGACTGAGTGTTTACAGAGCCGGGAGAACCCTTCACCTGTCCAGCTTTCCTCTTACCCTTCACTTTTCTTTTCTCAAGTGTGAAAGAGGTTGTAGACAAAGATGGGTCCACGTCTTGAAACAGTTTGGGACGTGTGTTTTCAGCGGTACAACCGTACAACCCTCAAGAATGCGATCTTGGCACGAGTGGCATACCAACCACTTGCACACCTCCAGGCTGCTCCACCTCGGCTCTTTCCTTTATCGAAGCACACTCATCATCCATCCATCCACCTGTCAATGCGCTGGATCGACTAACATCGAACTGGACGGTCCGACTCACATCGAACTGATCCGTCACCCATCCGCCCCTGCTGTGCGTCGGTCTTTTTGCCGCCCATCCCAGGAGCATTTGCGAGGCTTGGTGCAGATCCAATCCTCCTGCTGTGCGTTCGCCGCGCTGCAGGCCGGGCCAGAAACACACGTCCCTGCGACTGGTCGACGGGTTTTTCCCTCTGCTGGAGTCTTGCAGAGGTACCTCTTTTGGAACAAGTTACTGCCCCACCCAGGCCCTGAATCGCCATCACTTGAGCGCCGAAGTCTCCTTTTTGCTGCGCCAGGAAGATGGTAGCGTCCTGGGCTGGGGGCATCCCTCCCTCCCCTGGTCAGCTCGGCCAGAAGACGTGGTGGCGATCCAGGCCTCGTCGCACGCCTTTGCGGCGCTCCTGAAAAATGGGCGTGTGTCTTGAGATGCAGGAGCGGATTCGGGACGGGTCGGAGATGGTGTTTTTTCATGGCGTTTCAGGTTCCCCCTTGTCCTGGTCGTGCAGAACGCTCCAATGGATGCCTTTGATTTCACCCGTTCCGGCGGAGGGATCCATTCTTTCGGCGTGACCGAGGAGATGAGCGTTGACCCCCGGGGAACTCCGATGGGAAGGAGTCAGAGGTTGAGGTGTTTCTGGGAAGTCTGGGACCCCCCCCCCCCCCCCTGTGAGGAGTCCGGGAAGGTACCCTGCGCTGAAAGGTACCCGGCCAAACGCTCAAAAAGACTTGCAGCAGCCAACCTGGAAGAGGATCGTCCCAGGGCCAGGTAGAGTGTGTTAAACGCTTTGCTCCTTCTTTGCCGGGCTTCATAGTCTTGCGATGGGCTTTTGAGGCCCCTCGTGTAGAATCTGAGCATAGACCCCGAATTGTCTTGCACATGGTATGATCTGATGTTCGATGAATCAAGCATGGCAAGCAATCTAGCCCCCAAACAAGACGTGCCGACCTTTGTTCTGTCCTGAACGATCAATGGGTTCCTCCGGAACCCCCAAGAGAGTCCAGGTGAACAAGAGCGAAACCCACGAAGAAGTTCTTGTTTTGATCCCCAACATCTTCACAACCTTGAGATGACACCAACAATGCTATACCAATGCTTCGTAGAAAGGCTTCTTTAGCCCGTCCATGCAAGGTCATGACCTGGGGGAACAAAGACTATGGCGGAGACTGCTCAGGAGTTGAAGATCAGTTGCTCGGATGAGATCATCTGTACTTGACCACCTTTTCTTCGTGTCAGTCTGAAGGGAAGAAACCCTGGACCGACACCAGTCTCCATAGACCCGAGGCCGAAGAGCAAGACACAAAAACCATCAAACATCGACAACAACCACAACAGCAGCAGCAGCAGCAGCAGCAGCAGCAGCAGCAGCAGCAGCAACAGCAACAGCAACAGCAACAGCAACAACGACAGCACCGTTGTGTTACCCTCTGACTCCCAATGTGGTGCGTCCACCTTCTCAAAGGGGCTTACAGAACTCGTTCCCGAGAGCGACGCTTGGAAATGCGACTGGTGAGTAAGGCTGTAGCAAATTCGGACCCACCAAGACTCCACCACTCCACCCTTCTTTAGGTGAGTCTTCTCATATTCCAAGGTGGACTTGCTAGGAGGATGTAGTAGGTAAGAACTGGTGCCTTGTTTTTGGCCCCAGGTTGGTGGACGTCAACGCCATCCAAGCCTCCGCTGGTGCCTTTGCAGCCCTTTGTGGCCCTGAGAAGCGTGTGGTCACCTGGGGCAGCGCTGACTACGGCGGCGAGTGCGGCGAGGTCGCTCCTGCCACACCGGGTTTTGGTGAGACGTGTGCCAAGCGGTCATCGAAACCTTTCTAGATCCAAGAGATCTATGTGGTGATCACCGGTATGGAATTCGAACCAACAAAGAAACCCAAGTACTCAGTGTGGTGGGTTCTCTGCCTAGCAAGATCTATATAGCCCTCTTGGCTTCTGAGGTTTCCCAGTAGTAGATTGATGTCTGATGTCTTATATCCCACCTGTTCGATCTGTGAAGCATGGGCCAAGAAGGCCATCGCTATCTGCGATGCTTGGCGCCTGAGCAACAGCCACACCTGGAAGCATCATCCAAATCATACCCGCAACTTGAGAATCTTTTAAGACTCATCCTCAAGGGAACCTCTTTTCCAAAGCTTCTGCAGCCAGATATGTCGATCGAGGGATTTGTTCCCGGGAACGAGCCTATTGCGACGCAACGACGACCACCTGCGGCGTTGTATCCACTCTCTCCACGTTCAGCTTGCCTTTCGTTCGCATTGTGCTTGCCTGGATTGATTTTCCATGCCCCTCCAGCTTCCTGCCATCCACAGGAGCTGAAGAACATCCACTGCCTCCAGTCATCCGCTCGCGCCTTTGCAGCCTTGGAGGCCGGTGGAGGCGTGCGCTGTTGGGGCGATCCCCACTGCGGTGGCGTGGTACCGAAGGACGTGCAGGAGCAGCTGATAGACGTGAGACTTGGCCTTTATGTCGGGTGCCGGGTGCTGGACGCGTGTTCCGTTTTTTTTGGGGGGGGCGGATTGTGAGTGTTTTGTGTTTTGTTGTCTTTTTCTTTCTGCGGATGTGGTGGTGGGCCGTGGGTTTCGGTGTAGGTCTTGGGGTTTCTGTCGGTTCTTGGTGAGTTTCAGGTGAGATTATGAATCGCATCTGTCAAGTAAAGCAAGTACAGTACGGTGGATTTCTATTCTTTTCTTTGACGGTCGGTTACGTCGTCCTGGACGATGACAATCAGCCCGTCAAAGTCACATCCTGTCTGAGGGGTTTGGATCCCATGTTCTCCTCAACCGTTTGCACCCCGTTCGTGAGAGAGTTTGCAAGACTTGAGGAAATCCGTGAGCCCAACATTCAGATTCTTAGATGCTCAAAGAGACTCACGACATTTGAGCAACGCGTTTTTCAACTCCCAGTCATCCAAGCCTCTCTCCACTTCTTTGCATCAAAGGTGGTTGTTCAGGAATCAGGGATCATCGGCTCCACGGAAAAGAGCATGTGTTTATTTACATGGCATGTGCCATGTGCCAGAAGTATTCTGTACCTACAAAATGATAGCAGCAGCAGCATTCAGTTCAGTTTCTGCCAGCCTTGGCTGGTGTTGACCAAAAAGTTATCATCGAACTTTGAGAGCTCAATCTGCTCCAATTGCGATGCACTGGATTCCACGAGTATTAACTCTTCAAACACCTTCAGGGGTTCATCTATCTCTATATGTCCGCCTCTCACACTTCTGTTCACATCTCTGACTGTTCCCTATTTCTGTCGCCTGTTGGCTCCTCAGGATCGCCCTCCAAGCCGCTCCCCGCGCCTTCTGCGCCCTGCGCCGCAACGGCACCGTGATCACCTGGGGCGACGCCGCCGGCGGCGCCGGCGATTCGCCCGTCCTGCCGTCGCCGGTGGTGGCGGTGCAGGCGACGGCGCGGGCCTTCGCGGCGCTGTTGCGGGATGGACGGGTGAGCAGCTGGGGTACCTTGGGCTAAAGGACACCCTGTGGCAGAGTCTTCCAAAGGTGCCGGAGTGCGTCGGCGAACGAGATCGACCGGAGTTTGAGCATTTGGGGCTATTGGCGAAGCCGAGTCAAAAGCTGGAAACAGCGAGATGTTCTTCTTTTGATTGGTGAGTTGGAGGAAGGACATGGCGGCCATGGTCATATGCAAACGCCGCAAACGGTCGACTCCACTTTCCGACAGATGAATACTACCCAGATTCCAATCAATTTTGGGGTCTGTGAGCAACTGGAGATTTATTAGCAGAGCTTCCCTCCATTGGGAGTCCTAGAGCTGACAAATCATGACGAGGGCCCGCATCAATCAACGCCCCAATCGAATTCTCGAATGGGTTGCTGAGGCCACAAGGACTGTGGCGGTGACTGCAGTTCAGTGGCGCATGAGCTCTTCCGGGTGCGAGAAATCCAAGCAGCTCAGCTCAAAGACTCAAAGACATTCAACCAAAACACAGCTTGAGGTGAACGTAGATGGAGAGAGACTCTCTTTCATCCATCTTGCACCTCTAATTTTACTTTATTATGTTGCGTCAACTGCTGCATTAAAAACACCAAAAGGAGCATGGCCTAGAGCGCGGATGTCCATCGCTTTCGGATTTGGTCCGCGGATTCATCATGATTCATCCTGATTCATCCGGAACCCCATGAGAAAACCGGCTCAACCCCGCAAGGGGGTCAACCCCAGGCTTAGCCCAGGCGTACGGGGGTCAACCCCCAGGCAAGGGGGGTCACTTCCGAACCAAACGAGGGGTCAAAGAGTCGAAAGCACCAGGATGGACGAGGCTTCGGACACACTGGAACACCCGCACCACCAAGCTGGATGAAAAAACCAAAAACCTTCCCAAAAATCGTTTTTTTACTGTTTTCTCCAAATGGACGTCCTTCTCCAACCTCGACATGACTCGATCCTTCGGCCCGCCGCTCCGTCCCCGCGTCGTCACGCGTCGCGGAGAAACCGGTCCCAGGCTTCCACCGGCGCCTTCGCAGCGCTGCGGCAGGATGGGCGCGTCGTCACGTGGGGGTCCAAGGAGTTCGGTGGCGACAGCAGCGCGGTGCAGCAGATGCTGCTGGATGTGCAGGTGGTGCAAGCCTCCAGGTGCGGCACGTGGGGTGGGTTTTTGGGGAGGCCGCCCTTGGGTGATGAACCGCATATTTTAAGGCTATCCAGTCGTCTTCTATCACATGGCTGGTATCCAGTCGTCGATTTTCGCATGGCTGGTTTTGCAGGTCTGGATTTGCCGCACTGCGGGAGGATGGGAATGTGGTGATCTGGGGCCCAGACTGTGCCCGAGCTGCGAAGTGGTTTCGCGCGTGGCAAGGTGGGAAGTGGAGCAGTGGCTTTTACAACTTGAACCTCTCTATATGCATTGGGTCTGTGCTATTACATGTTAGGTGGTTTGAGGGGTCAATGTATGGCATATGGAGTCTGTCCCTGTAAACTTGTAACAGTCCGTACACAATTATCACTATTTTGTAGAGAATGGCCCTTAGTAACCATCATCATCCAATGTTGGTGATAGGATAGACCCAATCTATACCAATTAAATCTTTGCTCAGGTGGTTTTGTCTTTTTGGATTCTTAGGAAGAGACTAAAAGACTCGTGAAAGGCAAGGAAAGAGACACGTCAAGCATCTCTGTGTTCAGCCTTTTTATTGAAAACGAAGGGCTTTGTGTCTACCACACATACCAGTGATACATTGGCTTCCATGTCCGTTCTTTTTGGGATGACTTCTCAGCACTTCAATCCCTGGATTTTGGCAAACAGGAAAGCATTTCCGGGGAAGCACCTCCTTCGCGGCTGTTTTCAAGACATTGATGAGTCACTCCTGGCAACGTCCCTCTTGATCCACAAGCCGCGTGTAGGACGCAGTCCAAGGTCCTCAAATGCTGTCAGTCACGCTCAACGAGCCAGCAGAAGAGAAAGACATCAGCAAGGGCTTGTGAACATTCCGACCAACCCAGGATAGAATCCCTTTCCCTAGAGTCAAATCCTCATTCAGAATCCTCTGCCTATACAGGTGTCCCAGTCTTCTCCGACCCCCCCCCCGCACCTCGCAGCGCTTCTTCGAAAAAGAACCTCGAACCTCAGCTCGCAGAACACGAAGAACGAGGCGACGCGACTGACACGAATGACGCGACTCGATGGCGCTCACTCCGCAGGTGATGGCGCTCACTTCCTCAACCACCAGACCCTTTGCCTCTCCGACTCTGAACGCTGAAGTGACGGGTTTTCCCGGTCGATGGCCGGGTCCCCTCGCTTTTCAAAGGACGGCCCATCACGAGAGGAAGGACGCGAACCGAAAGGTTTGTGATTAGAGACTAAGACCAGAGACTAGGATCACTGCAGATTTGATGTTTTTGCTTGATCAACTGCGATCTTCAATCTGCGACTCATTCCTGCTTTTGATCCAAACTCTTCGGTGCGGTAGGTTCATCGTCGCCACAATGCCACATAATGCGGGTGGAGTGGTCATGCCCATCTGCAAAGTTGGATGGATTCTCTTCCTGCGACTTCCACTCAGTGGTGGCTGTAAAGAACATCCAGACATCAAGAACAAAACCTGTGACACACTTAGCAAACAACATTCAGCCCACATTTGACCTTTTATTAGCTTGGGCCTTGAGGAACGAGGCCTGCAACACTCCTGCGGATTAGCAGCTAGCAGCCAGATATGATGCAAGTTTTAGATGATCACCTCCAATATTGGCACTCCCAAAGATGGGGTGCACAAGGCCCAGCGCTGTGCGCGAAAGAGTGTGGCGACTGGTCAAAGGTGTACTGGATCGCCTCAAAACCCACCACAAAACCTTTGTTGCTTCAGTCTTCACAAATTCATATAAATTCTGGATGTTTTTTGGGGTTGTCACTTGCTATGTCAATGGCACGGGGTGGGGTGATTCTTGTTGCCATTCTTCAGGTATTTGCTGCCAATTGAAGAGAGAGATTGTCCATCTTTGGGAAAGCGTTTCTAGCAAGTGTGGCCGGATCAAAGATGGAACAATTTCAAGGGCAAGTGCCCCTTTGCAAATGACGTGCCCCTTTTCTATCAACTCCAGGATGGATCTATGCAGGATCTATGCAGGATAGTAGAACGAGTTCCAACGTGCACGAGTTCCAGTCCGTTTTCCACCCAAACCCAGGTCCTTTCGCCAGCTCCGCTTGGGAGTCCTAGCTCGCCCTGAAACCCTGCTTGGACTTCGTCCCTTTTCACCTTCACCACACGTCGATCCGCCAGACCGCGGCTCCGCTGGTGGAGCTCTTACGGACACAGCTCTGCGGGAGGTGCCGACGCTTCCGGTCGACTCGGACATCTGGGGCCCGTGGAGCCGTGAAGGAGGGTGAAGCGACTGGGTCACACAGTTGAAGTGACTAAGTGATTTCACTATTCCAGTTGACGAAGTGACATAGGATTTGCTATTCCAGTTGACGAAGAATTTTGAGTATATTTTTGAGTTGAAGTGGTCACCTAGTCACAAGGGCTTGCTGTCTTGCTTCATCTGGGCTCTCTAGTTTCAGTTGGGCAATTGGGCAATGATTGAGTCTTTGTAGACTCCACAAGCCTTTGGAGGCGACTGGTTGCAGAAGTAGTATGGATCGCAAGACCACGGTCCCCACCATGGCCGATGGCCTTCTACTGGTTGGTTGATCAATATAGAGGATACAAACCTCCCCTATGAACAAGCAGTATACGATTATATGGGATATGATACATGTGTTGTTCCACCCCTATATATGATTTCCATTTTGCTCGGACATCATTGCCACAAGTTTGGCCTTTTTTTGCAGTTCACCATCTCAACCTCAGTTCTTGATGGTCCAAACCTCTGTTCTTTCGCCTTGGTTCGAGCGCCACAAGACTCGCTCAGTTCGTGGAACCTTCGATGTAATCGCCGCGAACTCGGTCGGCTGATGACGTTGATGTTCGTCGTGACTTTCGGCGGTCGGATGTTCGATGTGTTTTGGTTCGAATCGTTTGGACTTTCGTGCAAAACGTGTGGATGGGCACAGAGCTCAAGCCAGCTCAAGCCAGCTCAAGCCAAAGTTGCAGCTGACCATCATGAAGCAATCCAGGAGCCGAACAACACAACCCCGCAGGAAGAACAAGCGGTTGACGGACATCAGTAGATAAGATTGCCATACTCTTCAAATGTTCAATTACATTCAAACAAACTTCGCCTCTCGTGCCAACGTGACAATTTCTGTGTCTTTGTGGAAGCTTCCGAGTTTGGCGAGGTACCTCGAAAGTTAGAGGAACCTTTGTCAGATCCTCAATAACTCGGACAAAAGGAAAGGCCGGCTTTTGGAATGCGAAAGTCACTTTGTTGTTCTTGGAAGATAAAAGCATACAACGGAAAGTACAGAACCTAGACCAGACAGACCAGACAGACCAGACAGCCATGTTTTCACTTACAACTTACACCCCAGACAAGCTTCCAATTCAAATGCCCAACGACATCTTCTACCAGCTTCCAACGACCACCCTGGTCGGACCCAGAACCAGCGAAGCCGCGGCCGCAGCTTCGCCACCGCACCACGTGCAGCATGTGAGTGTCATGTGCTCCGTGGGGCAGATGACCCAAATCCTGCAAACCACCTTCAAGGGCGGTAACCGACGCTTGGAGCTGGACAGACCGTCCGAGGACAAAAACCAACGGAGTCGGAGCATTTCGGGCATTCGCTCGCTACGAACGGAGCAGCGATGTTCATCCCCAGCCCTCCGGAGTCGTCTTCGCCGAATGGGGTCGAAGGAGGGTGGGGATCGTTTTGGAGGGTGGTGTTTTGGATGTATCTGGATTCCACTCCGCAAAAGCTTTTGGAGCCCGACTCATACTTTTTCCGCGAAAATCGTGGAGTCATGTCCCAGTTTCCAAAGTACAAGCTCGAGCTTTCGCATCGTGGTCACTTGATGCACCGTTTTGGACGCCGTTTGCCCAATAAGACGGGGATCCAAGTGAGTTGTTCGTTGAACATCCAACTGCCCAAGTAGAGGGGCACTCGGACTGAGCACTCCGTTTTTCACCGGTACAGTAGCAGTAGCAACCGTTTTTCCAACTCAGATCTCAGTTGAGCATGACACTTTTAGCTGGCGCAAGAAAATTCGGGCCAGCGTTTCTGAGGTCTTCAGGGCATCTACTTCCAAGTGGATGTTCTGGATGCACCTCGCCGAAACAGAACGAAACACACCCTCGAAAAGAACATCCATGTCTACTTAGGGAAGACATTTGCAACATTTTGCAAATATCACATTTGAACAGATTATTTTTAGAGAACTGGGCCTACATCTAAGGCTGCTTAGAATACACAAGACAACGTCCTCAAGTAGGAAGAGGAGCTGATTGCTTGGGCACCCCATCTCGCTCTTCCAAAAACCCCAGCCGGTCGAACTCTGGCTTGTTTTTTGAGCGTCTAACCCTGGTCCTTTTGCGACGGCGAGCACTTTGGGTTGGCACCTCAACACCACTAAGGTCCATTGAGACTTTGTTAAGATTGCGACAGCGAGCTGTTGATCAACCCATTGTTGTTTCCAGTTCATCACCCGACCCAAGTTTGCTTTGATGATGTTGACTTGGTCAGAGGTGAACTCGGCAGATTGATTCATTCAGGTCATATCATATACTGCCTGGGGCTGAAAAGAACGACGAAGTACTGCGTTTGTCAAGTGATGCCCCTGTTTTTTTGTGTGGCACCTCTCAGAAAATGATGTGCATCAAGGAACAAACGATTTCTAACAAGAAAAATGGTTTCGTATCAACCACAAAGGATTCTTGATTCGGTCCCGTGGTTCCGCATACCCCCCATCCATTGCGGGTCGCTAAGACAGCGAGCGTCGCTTTTGGTGGGGCAGTTGGTGGAGAGAAGAGGCCGAAAGGCAACAGTTCCACTCATCAAGTGAGCTGACTGAAGGTATATATTTCCTCCAAAGCTATGGTTTTCAGTCCTTGGAACTGCTTCAGATGAGACACTCTAAGAGCCTGTGGCCATGTAACGGATGAATGTGTGATGGACATCCACTATCTATTAAATGCCCAACTCTTGCGGGAAAAACAAAACACATACAACGAACTGGTTGATTGTGTTCTACCCTGAACCGGCGCTGGGTCATGCTGGGTCATTTCCTCCAGCACCGCTGGCACTGCCAATTTCCTCCAGCTTGAGGACATCAATCTGGTGAGTTTGACCGGCAACCGGGCCGAAACATAAGCTCAGAGAAGTACGTGTTGTGCGTGATTTCGGATCTGCTTGAAAAAAGACGACACATGTGTGAGCCCTTGGGCGAACCCTCCAAGAAATTGGAATTCTGCAAGGGGAGAAAGAAAGGATGGGATGGGATGGGATGGGATGGGATGGGATGGGTGGATCGATGGATGGATGGATGGATGGATGGATGGACCACCACGCCAGCGCTTGCCACTTGTTCAAAGGCTCCTTCGCCGATGCGGGCCACGTCTACGTGCACATGCGCAACGGCAGTATCGGCGAGCAGGTTGGAGGCGCGTATCGATTTAGCCGGGCCTGGTGGGCTTGGGCCAGGAGGGGGTGGCAGTTGGTGGCAGAAAGGAGGTGAGTGGGGAATCACAGCAGTTTGGCGGCAGCTTGAAGAAGGTTTTCAAGTGTGGAAGGAAGGTGTTGGATGGCATGGTAGCTCTCTGGAGCTTTTTGTTGAAGTTGAATACTGGCTGCGAAACTGGGCCCTGGATGGCAGGAGAGTCCCCAGTCTCAGGAGGTGGGATGAGAACAAACCATAGGGGAAACCCCGAATCCGGACTCACCATGTTCTGGGCATGCCGTCCCCAAAACCGAAAAATACACATGGCCATCATGGGGGTTCTGGTTCCAACAGTCAACCGAGAGAGAGAGAGAGAGCTTGCTTGGCCAGGTAATTGGCGGCTCTTGCTCTTTGGCGAGACATTGGAGTTTAGGGTTTAGGGGCATTTTGAAAGGCTTGTAGGGGGTACAAGATCTGATGGGGCATCGGAGTGACTCATCTTCACCAGGTGAAGGTTTGATGCCCGTGATGGCCTCGCTTCTGGCCCGTGTGTCCAATCGAAGGCTAGTGCACATGAACGGTCTCCGGTCCCGGTCTCTTTGTCTTGTAGACCACCCTGTCCAGCAGACCACCCTGTTCCGATGGACCCAGTTCATTGGTTTGAAAAACCAGGTGAACACCCAAGAACCCCCAGACTAGACTCGCCCTTGTCCTTCTCAGCCCTCAATCCAAGACATGTGGTTGATTTCAGACTTAATGTCCATGCAACTTTGCCAAGGTTCTTGCTTGCCAAGGTTCTTGCTTGCCAAGACTGGTCACTGTGATCTTGCATTCTCCCTTGGGGTTTGAGGTCACCGCTCGATCTCAACCACGTCCTGACAGCCCCAAGGCAATCAACACCGGTGGAGAGCGGCGGACAGAAAAACGTGCCGATCGGGCAGGCAGGGTGGAGTGGCTCTGTCGTTGGCTCCGTGGGGGCTTTGGTGTCGTTTCCGGTACCGTCATTTCCAGAACATGTTCGCAAAGTTGATGGCCCACAAGACGGCAGCAATGTCCGAAAACAGACAGTCGACCGATGGATCCAAGCGTTTCTCTCTCTTCGGTCTTTCATGGCCTGGTTGGCGGGTGGTCGAGCTCAGAGCCGGTCCAGGTCGCAGGGCCCTGAGGGTCGCCCCGATCTCCCCGAGCTTTCGAGGGGTCTGGGGGTTTGGAAGGGTCCGGATGCGTAGCGTCGCGCGCTGCTGGCGGAAGGGCTTCACAGATCAGCGAATTTTGTCCACGGCACCTGTTGAATTGGTTTTGGCTTGTCTTTCAGTTGCCATGAATTCCATGCGAAGGAAAAGGCCGTCGCAGGAATTCCATGGTCAAACATCGCTGGGTCTGATTGACAAGGTTCCTGGCTTCGTTGGGGGACTCTCCACTCAGTGATCGAACGAACTCAGAAGAGGTACCTCTTCCAAAGTGGAGGTTTCCTCCTTGGCCATCCGAACTTTGGGCCATCCACGTTTTCCCATGATTCTTCCAGGGAGAGATTTTGGAATCGAGCGGATAGTGTGCTATGTTTGCTCCTCAGTTTTTACCGGGTTCTGCTCCTGAGTACAGTAACTAGAGTAGCTAGAATGTGTTGAACTAGCAAGCATGAAAGCAGCTCCTCATAATTGCTATGTATATATAGATGGTTTCAAGGCTTAACAGTTTTTCTGGGCTTGGGGCTTCATGGGTGGCCCTAGCCCGTCTGCAACCACTTTTTTTTCCGAGATTGCAAGGGTTCAACGGGGGACTCCTTGGTCTTCTCCTATCATGTGAAGATCCAGTGCTAAGAGTCGGCTTTCTTTTCTCCTGATGTCCTCCAGATTCCACAGGTCTTTGTGCGTGGGAGCTACACTCTCCATGTGGCGTGCTCCTCTTCCATCATATACTCAGTTTCTTGGCATTCGTCTTGGGTCTGAAGATCATGACTATGGTGGGCCGTGTTCCTCTATTGATTTACTTATTTTTGGTTAAGTATTTTGAATGAGGCAAGTTGGTGATAGGAAGAGTAGATAGACGGCCGGTCTTGTGGTTTCATGTGAGCGATGATCAAGCTCTGGTTCCGGCGAGCTGCTAGCTGCTAGCTTGCATGTGACCCTTGTGTTGCGACCCTATCCACCCAATGCTCTTGTAAACATGTCGTATGCGTTTGGTTGACCGGTATGAACCCTCTTGTTGTGGCGAGTACATGGAGAACACTTTTTGTTTTGCATGACCCACCTTTGTGGAATGCCGCCTGCCATGAACAAACATCAAGCTCAGTATACAGAGAAGATCTTGCTGCACTTCAGGTCCAAAACAGTTGGGCCAACGACATTTGAAGTTCTTCTACCGTGAGAAACACATGACTCAGTGGACTCAAAAATGACTAACGATTCACTTCTTGCCTCGCTTGCAACAAGAAGCTACTAGGGGCTCCTGGCATTGTTACCAGGAGCGATCGGACGCTACGAACGGGGCTCCTGGCCGTACTACTAGTAACCATGTTCGCAAAACGAACGGGACCAGTCCACCAATCGTGCGATCGTCGTGCATTGGGCGGATTCTTCTCCCCTTCACGCGATTCAAGGGGCCACTCTGGCCACTCCGGCCGGGGACGGGTCGAATCACCTAAGGATGCACTCTCCATCCATGACGTCCTGGCGCAGGAACCGACGTGTTCGGTTTTTCATCCTGATGAGTTCCATTCACCCCCCAATTCTCCTCCTACTGAGTAGGTCCCTCTTTTTCACCCTCAGAGAAGCAACGAGGATCCACGCTGCACGCAACGTCCCGCCGGCTTCGCCCGACGAAGCCGGCTTCGCCGTCGCCCAGCGCGCGTGACGCATCGCCCAGGGAAGTCGCTCACCAAGGAGAAGAACATGAGCAAACCCAAGCTACCTCTTCCGAAAACAACATGACATATAATAAAATACAACTATATAGATACTATATTAACATATTGTAAGGGCTCCGCCCGGGTGCCGCCGACCCCTTTTCATCTCGAGGGTTTGGCGGTTGAACCTTGACAACTTCCTGGGATTCAACAGCGAGACTTGGATGGGCTTCACACCAATGCTGGCATTCAACCAGCTGCCGAGAAGAGGGCAAGGCTGCGGTGAGGCTCTGGGGAGCGTTTGAAGCCGAGCCAAAATGCCTAACGTTGCCTTCGGAAGCCCATAAGAAGAGAGGAGGCAGGCTTCGGACAGGCCACAGAGAGGCCGCAAGAGGCCTGCCGGCTGCCGAGAGGCTTTTGAAGCCGGTCCAAAATGCCTAACGTTGCCTTCGGAAGCCCATAAGAAGAGATGAGGCAGGCTTCGGACAGGCCACAGAGAGGCCGCAAGAGGCCTGCTGGCTGCCGAGAGGCTTTTGAAGCCGGTCCAAAATGCCTAACGTTGCCTTCGGAAGCCCATAAGAAGAGAGGAGGCTTCGGACAGGCCACAGAGAGGCCGCAAGAGGCCTCCCGGCTGCCGAGAGGCTTTTGAAGCCGGTCCAAAATGCCTCACGTTG